GTTGGATGCGCAGATTCGGCACAAATGCATGCTCCAAGAGTCGTTCCATTTGTGGCCTCTGGATGAGGGCCCTCCTGGTGTTTAAAGTCCTCGCACGGGGATTTTGTCGTTCAAACGCGAGGGAGGTCATCAGCGGGGGGCGAATGCTGCAAGACACGTTGAATCCAAGTCATGCAGCTTTTGCAGCCTGCAGCTGGTAAAGCTTGCCAGCTTGTAAGTTCTCCAGTGCGGAAACTAGAAACTCCAACATATGCCGTAACATGCTGCGGCAACCTAGCGCTTCTAGGCGAACAAAATCAAAGTACCCATTGCTGCATGAAGGCATGTCAAGTTGGTCGGGGTATCTTTCTTGGTCATACATGCCCCCTGGAAGCCGACAGCAATTCTTGTCCAAAGAAAAACGTGTCACACCACAAAGTTCATTTCCTGCCCAAGAGGGTATGAATTTTATGACCATCATTTCCTGCGCTTGACATTTATGTCCGCCCAACCGACTTTTGAGGGACGTCTCCCACCCCAAGTTCTTCGCATGGCTCATCCAGGCCCTGCGGACTCGAGGCCCCCCGCGCGAATCCGTGAGCACCGCGATGCGCAGCACTGGGTCTACTGCGCCGAAGAAGCGGCCCAGCCTTGGATTCGTAGCTAACTAGTCGAGAGTCCCGCGCCCCAAGGCAGGTACAACAGCGACGCAGGGGGCTCATCTCGGCACAGGTTCCAGGTCACCTTGAAACATGCTGTTGAAGATGCAGCATGGCACGAAGTACGTTGTAGATGATGATCTTCGAGTTACAATCGGTGCAAATTAGCTTTGTGTATGCGTCACTTCAAAACCCTGAAGCAGTCGGAATGCATGTAGCTAATCTTGCAAGAGAGCCATACCCCATTTAAAATTCGCAGCGATGGAAGGCCCTCCTTTCGGCTGCTTCTTCTTGGATCCCATTTGCCGCGGCTACGTCAAGCGGTATGTCGCAAAGTAAGATTTGTGCATTCGAGCGGAACCCGAAGGAAACCAACCCGCCCGCATGGGATCGCTAGGCTGCGCGGCCCGACCAAAATGATGACTCTGAGGTTCCGACACCAGGGGGAACCTGAGAGGGACTTCACGCAACTCCTCGACTGAATAAAATGCAACTGTCAGCAAAGAATCACCCTGTACTACCAACCATGGATAATTCAAGAGGAATCAACTTCAACATCTGAGTGTGGCCTCCGTGTTTCCACGCCCTGCAGCGAAAGAAAAAGCGTTTAGTCAACATGACTTTGGCAACCTCCCCCACCTTGGAGTCCGCAGCAGTGCACCGTGCCTACATCATCATGTTGAACAAAACAGAAATCGGCATACCGCTTGGAAGATCACGCGCTACACATACTACAGTGCACATGGCCCTCATGCAAAGGCAAATCCCAAACGCTCCAAACCCACAAGCCACAACACAAGGCGCTAGTCCAAGATGCACGGTTGGCACCCCAGACCCGAAAACCCCATAACACACGTGCAACACCACTGGGTGTGTCTTCCTTTAATGCCACTAGTGGGGCTGCTTCAAAGGGAAACCAACGGACTTCAAAAAAAAAGAAGCCGATTAGCATCGTTTAGCCCTCACCCGCAGCTGATGCAAAAACGGGCCCTTCAGAATAAGCATAGGCCGTAATGTTGCAAGTATGCTTGCCCATCTTCCACCCGGAGCTTCGCTAATTCAGCAGGAGCGATGCAACCACAACGCACTGCTAAGGTTGCTGCTTTGGGACCGCTGCGAAGCAGTCCGAGGACCTTGGGAGAGAACATGAACATGTGCGTGCCAGTCATGTCCGCAGGCAAGTCTGGGGTGGCGATTGGGTGAGTCTATGGCTCCACGGGTGTTCTGCCGAAAACGCCGAGAGAAACGTCTAGAATCCTACAAAGTATCCATCTCAGCTAAGAAGTTCAAATTCGATGAGATTTGGATCAATCCAGACAGGGACAGGTTCAGGCGTGGCGGTCTCAGTTCTGGATCTTTATTCACACGTCCGCAAGCGCGGCCACACCTAAACAGGCCAGGCACTTTGCCAGACCCTCAAGGCGTTGGTACCGTTGGAACCTTCACAACGGATGAATAGTTTGTTGACAACACTCAGTCAAACTCTAAAGTAAGTCAGGAGGAGCCAAACGTACTAGAACGACGTGCTTCTGGCATGGAGGAAATGCAAGCAGCTCCACAATACAGCAAGTGTTTGGCGCTTGTCGGAAACCACGCGCAATTTTTGCGTTGCAAAGGCGCGTGGTTCTCTGGCCTGAGCCCGCGGCATCAACATGTACTCGCCACTGGGCAGAGCGGCCGCATCACACTGGTCTGTCCAGAAGTCGCAGTCAGAGCCTCGTTGCGCCGAAAACGTGTGTGATCCAGGATGAGCTGCCCTAAGACATAGCTTCGGCCAGAAAGGCAGAGTCAATCCCCAAACGCCACACTCCTGGCACTTGTCCAGGCACTTGTGTGCAGCATGGCAGCAACCATGTCAAAACACAACGAACACTTCACAGGAATTCCCAGCTGCTGGGATCAGCTGCTCTTCCGCCACCTCTCAAAAGCAAGGCCCGCATCCTTCGAAATCCAAACAACGCGGCAAAGCTCGGCTGCCACCCTACAGTGCCGCACTGAAAAACATCTCAAATGATGGTTGACTTTGCCAGCCACCAGATATTTCTTAGCCAATATGCCCGTTGTTGTTCAAAAAAGAGCCGATTCCATACCAAAAGGGCAACTGCAACCACGATGAGTCCGGTCCACATGCCGGCTGGCGGTCCGGCCATGGATCTACCCCCCTCGAGCTCACAAAGCAACCAGGATATTGCACCGTGGCAGCGCAGGAACATTGTTGCTACGTGGTGGCTAGGGATGCGAGAGTGCTTCGAAGGTGTGCGGTAAACAATGCTATGATAACAAAGCAGACTTGGGCCGACACACAAACACGACCACTGCTGCTTCAAAATCCAAACTGCTGGTTTGTCGATGTTCAATGGTGGCACCAATGCACACATGGATTTATCTTGTCACATCCCTCTCTTCAAAGCCATGGTGGTCCAAATGTCTCCTATCGATGATTCCTGAGCGCTTCCACGACAGAAAGCAACAGCTAGATGTCCTTGCATCAAGCAACGTCCTGATTGGCACCGTGGATCATCAATGCTGGGCGGTCTCCCTTCGGCTAGGGCCGACAAAGGCTGGGCAGCCGCGCCATCATGAGAAATGCCCAAGCAGCTGGGAAGAAGCGCGCACTGCCTCGCTCGCTTGGCAATGCACTAGACTGCAGGCGCCCTGAGAGCCCATCCTGGGCTTCGTCTTACGATTCTTAGGGCGCTGGGCTTGCCTGGCTTTCAGCATGAGCATTCGTGGCTGTTCTCGCGGTATACCGCAAGGCGCAATGCCTCCAAGCCCTGCCTAGATTGACCGGCAGAGTGTTGCTCATCCCCAAATCAAAACGACAACCCCATCCCAAAATCAACGAAGCCTAAAGAGGCGATACACTGCCAGCACACAGGCTAAGCTGCAGCCCGTTAAACAGAACCAAAACAACAAACATGTCTGTGGAGACTCCGAGACAGTGTCAATCCCTGCAGGTGAGTTGCGAGCCGCAGCGCTTCAGGCTCACCCCCAACTCTGGCTCCTCTGGATCCGCGTAGCGGCCTCAGCTGGCCCGAAAAACGCCAGCTTGGCTGGAATGCTTCGGGTGCGTAGGCCTCTTCTGAACTCAAATCGCATGATTTATGGTGGTTTATGTGATGGTGGCAAGTGAGCTTTTAGCTATCACTTGCCAGATCAGTCACGGCAAGTGCTGCCGAACTGTTCAAAGTTGGCTCCTGCTGAAGAAAAGGGAGAGGTCGCTCATTGAACACCTTTTAAAGGTCGCCGTTTCTGCTGCATTGTGAATGCCTGCCATCAAGAACACACTGCCAACAAGTCCAAAGAGCGCAGTGCACACATGTAATCCTATCATCCAAACCCCGTTAAGGGGGGGGGGGGGACGTCTGAAAATGTAATTTGCATTTTATGGGGTTTGGCACCTAAAAGTGTAAGAAAACATGTTCTTCGGGTGACGTGCCAAATGTAAGATTACATTTTGGACGCTGGTGGACCTATCAGAAAGGTGCCTCGCACATAATTAAGTTACAACTTCAGGAACTTGCCTCACTTCAAAAGCCCCTGCGCATGCGCCAAGGGGACCCCCCCAGGTGTGTATATCCGGATTGTATACGGGTTTTTTGGGGGGAGCGGGGGGGGGGAATGTCACTTTACACCTGGGCACGTCGAAAGTTACTTTTTATCACCACTCCCCCCAACAAAAGTTGGGGGAGTCGCAAAATGTAAGCGGGGGGAAATGCATTTTCAGACGTCCCCCCGTCCCCCATTTTCGGGCCCCAAGGCGGTGGGGATATTTTATCAAGGGGCAAGGGGTTTGCCATAATAGGGCACATGTTTGTTTGTTGTTGACTGGCAGTGGCAGCAATAACCAGACATGAAACGGTGCGTTCATCATCCAGCAAGATAGCTGCCCCCACTCCTCATAAATCATCCAGCCACTATTCAGCCTTCCATGCCACGCTGTCCCAATCTCATGCTTGGCTGATGAGTCGGACAAACATCCTGCAGGGAAGCCCAATATCTCATGACAATCACTAGTCCGACCTGCTGTAGCGATGGCCCTGACTCACTGATAAACCATGGATGCGAGGCTGTCTGATCATGAACTCAAGTTATATCCGGTTCTTGCAACCTCTTGGCTCACAAATGGATGACTTCTTTCTCAGGTTCCAAGCAGCGGAAGCGCACTTGGATGCCCCCCGTGAGTGAGACAACACAGAACATCGACATTAACAACACCCATTGACACACGGTAATGGATGACAACTCTGCGCAGTCTCTCCGGCACATGATGAAAGATTGCGCCAGACCGTTGCCCATTCTCACTGCCAGAATGAAAATAGCACCGCCACCGCCTGGACAAAATGTTCGGACAGAACATGTTCAGCCCATGTCATTGAAGCCTGGGGCGACTATACGCAATGAAGCGGCAGGTAGCCGGACACTCAAAATGTCAATTCTGATGGAGGCGCCGTCCAGCTGGGAAGCCTCAATGAAGTTCCAGTATCCCCTGCCTGTCGTGTTGCCTTTGGCAGTGAGCGTCGTCGCAAAATCATGATCCAGCATCCTATTAACAGTGCGGCACTGGAATCTCACCTTCAAATGGACTGGGCTCTCAACAAAAGCATAAAGCGCCGCTTCGCCAGGACTCGACAGCGAGTCTCCTTTCGGGTACAGCGATATCCAAGCGTTGATGCCAGGGTAGATCTGGAACTTATCGCTCATCTGCCTCTGATCCTTGGCGAAGTTGCTGAAGTCATAGACAGTCAAGTCCCAAACAAAGGACATTCCTGTAAAAGCTTGGCACTTGCCCTCCGGAGCATAGCATTTGTTTGTAAGTTCCCTTACGGCCCCTTTGAGATCCAGAGTGTCTGCTGCGACTTGCTGGAGGGAACCTGCTAGCTCTTTGCATTTGCCCTTCAGCGTGACCACTGCTTGCGCCAGCCCACGCGAAGCATCACAGTTGCTGGGGTCCAGTCGGAAGGCGTCGAGGAAAGCATTGTGGCACGCGTCTTCCAATCCGTCCATGGCAAACAGCCCGGCTGCTGCGACAGCCACGCGAGCTCCATCTGCGCACCTCTCGGGCATGCCGAGCTGGCGCGCAAGAGACATAAGCTCCTCTGCTGACAGCTGCTTGAGGTGAACTGGTTGCAAAGTCAAATTGGGCAGGACATCGGCTGGGATCTCCATATCATCCTCCAGGAAAAGCTTGAGAAACAACCCTTCCACATCGATACCACAATCATCGCTAGCGGGCTTCAAGTGCAACATGCTGCTATGCAGTTGATGTGCTAGCGCTTCGCGCATCAGCACATCACTGGCATTGATGCTGTGAGCTCTCACAAGCAGCTGGAGCTTTTGCTTCTCCCTGCCCTCGCATGGCTCCAAGCGGCGTGCCAAGTCCACGAAAATCCTCGCAGCTTGCTTGGGCGGCCACTGAACGGCTGTGGAAATTCCAAGGTCATAGTTGAAAAACCTCTTGGCGAAGGCGGCTGCAACATCTTGGTCATCCAGATATGCTCGAGCGTCGTTCAGCAGGCAGAAGTCCAGATCAGGGAGATATGCATTGAGCCTACCAATAAAAGCTGCCAGCAAAACGGCGGAAGCCTTTGTCCAATCGCCGTGTTCATAGCGGTCAGTCAACTGCAAAACATCCCATAGCTTGTTCAACCGTACATCATCGCCCAAGCGGCTTGCAAGTCTACACGCAAGTTCCTTTGTGATCAGGAGCTTGCCCTTGGCATCTGCTTCCTTGACAGCATTGTATAAGACTATGATCATATCTTCTTTGAGGTTTGGAAGCAGCATTTGCAGTTCAGACTCATCGGTTGCTCTGAGAAACTCCAGAACTTGCCCATCATCTTGCACTTCCACCATCAACGAAACGATCTCTTGGATGATGGCATCTCTGTCTACTCCGGGCAACTTTACTCTGAGAAGCAGCAACGTTAAAAGTTTCCTGCGAGCAGTCGAATCTGGTAGTTGGGCTCTTACAAACTCCACAGCTCGTGGGAGCACTTTGCTCGCCAAGTGGTGCGGAAGCTGAGGTGCGACACAAAGGATCTCTGCCACAACGCTTTCCTTGAAAGAGACCGTTTCCGACTTCACCTTCTTGTTGTCGTAGAGCACCTCGGCCAACACAGCTGTTTGCTGCGATTGTCTGCACTTGGGCAAGCACTTGTCCATGTCAACAAGTGTCGCTCGTACAGTGTCGTTCCGGAACCATGTTGGAGACAATTCGCCGCTCGATGAGATTTGGAACAATGAACCCCCGCTAGGGCTGACCGCACACTGGTCAAAGATCGCGACTACAAAGTAACATTGGTCCATTTGGGTTTGTCTCAAAGTCGGACACCGCCAAAATCCAATAACTCGTTACCAAATTTCCGTATGAATAAACACACGTTGGCCATTTTTCACTATTGAAACAATCCCGACTGACAGTCAGAGAAGGATGGCGACACTGCCACCCAGGCTCTAGGTTCTCAATCGCTGCTCCTGTCATCGGACTCTTTGCCCTCACCTTCAGGCATTCTTCGACGCACGACCGTTCGTACGTGAAGCCATCGTTTGCCACCACGGGGTCCTCCAGGGAACTAGGACGAAACCGTGGGATGCCAAAGACTCCGCATGACATGAGATCGACTGTCACTTCCTGATGTCTCATTTGTCTTCTGTGAAGCAACTGTAGTAGACTTGCGCTAACTAGCGAAGTGCTTGTCAGTTGTAATGCTTGTGGGCTCCCTTTCGGCCACCGACAGGTGTACAGTTTCCCTCGCAGCCTTGCCTCCATCAACGCGTGAGAAATGGGGCAACACAGCTCCGGCGGATCCGTGAGCAAACGCTTCACCTGGGCCCGTGCCATGGTCAAAAGGACCCCCCGTCTTTGGGCACATTCCAGGTACAGTTTGGATGCACGTGAAAAGCCTCCACCGAACGCGGGGGGGGGGGGGGGTGTGCACGGCCAAGTGGGCACTAAAAGAGTCTCATCACCGGCGGCCAAACGCAAAAGTCCATCTGAGATTGCAAAAAAATGTCACACTTACAGCAAGAGCAGTGCATATTGGACGCGGAGTTGGACGCCACAAACACTCAGAAATTGGTTGGGTTAGGATGGCGGCTGTTGAGTTTGTTGGCTATGGCTGGCTATCGGCTTCACTCTCTTCAGAGATTTCATCCGAGCATTCATGGGTAGCTGAAAGCAATTGAACACCATCTTTTTGACAAGCTTTGCTAACCTAGAACTTTCTTGAAGCTGTCCGCAAGTTGTTCCAAGACACGAAGTTCTCGCAAGTCTTTGTTCCCTCCATGCAGTGAACATTGAAGGTACATGGCGATTTACTGGTAGGGGTATATTTGCCTCGTCTTTCTGTCCGGTCCCAGTGTTCCGTTCCAGACCAGTGAAACAGGCTAAGGAACGGGCCTTTGCAGAAAGACAAAGCGTGGGGTTTGTATTTCGACCCAACTGTGCTGAAACCATTTGCCTCACAAAGACCCGCAAACACACGGACAAAGATACCTTCATTCCTCTGCTTTGATAGATATTGCAGAGGAATGGTGCACAAATGAGCAAGTCTACATCACTGAGCCGTCACTTCGTCTGCTATCTTAACCTCCATCCAGCAACCGCCTCGCAAGATGTGATTGCTGCGAGATACATCCCGCCATCATTTTTGCTGGCAGCCCAGTTGCCAGCAATGCCAAGCCTTGGCTGTTGTCTTGGGATTGACCACCTTCGCTGTCCTGGAAATTGACAATTGCCATGACCCCAAGACGTTTGCCACCTGCTGCGACCCCTGACGACGGGGTTGCTTTTCATGCCCGTCAAAGAGGGAGGGTAGGCTCTACTTCCGCGATCTCCAACAAAGCGTGACCACATCGACTCTCAGTCAAGCCAATCATGCAAACTTGCAAAAGCTCCCCCCCCAACCCCCATGCTCAAAGATAAATCAACCTGTCACTGGACATTTTAGGCATCTTTTGGCGTCGGAGATGGAAGCGTCAAAACCAAAGCCTTGCACACACGGAATCGCAATCATCATGACCCGCTTCTATAGTATATGAACCACGAGTAGGTCCAAAGCGCGCTATGCTCGCCAAGTCACCTCGGAACGCCAGTCCATTTGCATCAACGAGTAACACTCAATCGTTCACGGTTAACCCATCTTCATCTACCCACAAATGATATGAAACATGGCCAGGATGTGGTTTGCTTGTCAATTTCTGGACAACTTCCCAAAGCCTCGCCGGTCCTTCGTGTTAAATGCCTCGGCTTGCTCCAAGATTTGCACGACTTCAGCAGGTTCCTGAGCTATGCGTTGTTTGCTTCGCACGGTTTGAACTCACAACCTCGGAATGGATGATGCGCCCAGCCACAGGGCACTGAAACCTCTTTCAGGATAGAGAAGTTTGGCTACTTCAACAGTTTAGTGCAACAACGAAAGTACATTGGCGTACCTTGCTTGGAGGAAAATGGGTCAAATCGAAGGCTAGAACTCTAAAGTTAGTCCACACCTAGGTCCACATACAATTGTAATAAGCCTAAGACCGTTGCGTGTAGTCTTAGACCCCCCATCCTTGGAAAACCGAAGTCAACCTATTCAAACAAACGTTGAATAGGTTGCATAATTCCTTGCTGAAATTAGAGCGTTCGACCGTGCTACTGTTGTTTGTAACGCTCTAACACATCAAGCTGCATTGGTGAACGTGTGAACTGTGGGTCGTCTTCATCGCAGATTCTTGTAATCCACACTAGCCTCCCCTATCTCGATGGCCAATAGAAAATCAGTAAGAGCACCGAAAGGCATATCTGAACACTCCGCAGAAACACAAAACACAGTAACTGTTCGAATGGCCCAAAAAATCAAAAGAACCAATCCTGGGAAGACAAGGGTCTGAGCGATTTATGATGCAAAATACATGCAAAATACGGGATCCCCACAAAACAGAACCTTCATCATGGGTGAGGGCGGAGCCCCCCCCCTTAAACGTTGCACATTTTTCCCCACAAACAAACAAATAATCCCATCATGCTGAGGTCTTGATCTTGTTGCTGCGCAAGGCTCCATCTTCCACACAGTTGCGATGGACTCCGTGGACATGCCTTGCATGCCTTAGTGAGCCAGGCTGAGGCAAATTGCCTTGAGTGAACGGATCCGCGACCGGCACATATTGATGCACAGCGGGCGGCGATTTCGTATTTTAAACAGCTTTCAGACCACAACAACAAAACGGCTCAAGCCTCCATTGTCGTGCATCTCCCAACCAAAACCATAACCCAACGCTTGTTCAGTCCAAGCACTCATGCGAAGAATCAAATCATATGAGTCATAGTCCTTCTGACTGGCTTTGTGACCTTCATCGTCCTGCGCGCTTCAGCCGCGGTATCAAGTTCCCAGAGCCACAACTCAAAGCATATCATTTTGGCGATCAAGTGTAAAACGTATGCATCAAGACTATATTATTGACACACCTGCTTTCTATGTACATCCATCCAACACACGCATGACCGACCTATCAGCTGGTGAGAGATGTGCGATATCAAAATCCGTTGAGAACCAACCCCACTTGCTGTCGCCATCATGGCGTCTAAATCGCAACGTCAACGCCATCATACATACAAAAGCACACAAAATAACCTCTATTCGGACACCTGGCGAGCAAAACCCTGATGAAGCAGCCCCAAAGAACCCAGATCTTGCAGCCAGGCGGTTCGATAATTATTGGAGGGTGGTGATTCAGACTTCTAGTTAGAAGGGAAACCTTTAATCCCCACTTAATCAGAACTGATTGACCCCTCGTCACAACTCCAACACCTTTCGTCGGCTTTGGATTCAGCCGCCAAATGCTCTTCTGCCAGCAGGCGTCGCTCATGAGTCAGGTCAATCATCATCCCACAACACAGGGATCCTTACATTTTACACGTGAACATTGCCTTGCAAATGGTGGCATCCCTTTATTTTGGTAAACAAAAAGCCATGTTTCAAATGGGCAAAATGTATCTTTTAAGGAGCCCTGCTAACTCTGTGGCGATCCTGTCCTTTCCCAGTATGCCTCGTGGGTGTACAATAGCTTATATCAGCAGGCGACAGGTACACAATGCGCAATCAGCCATGCTGCATGCCTTACATTAATTGAAGTGTCAGCATCCAGTATTGAATGCCAACATGTTATCTTCAAAGAACTGCTGACGTTCATAATCAATCAAGTTGACATTTTCTGACATAAGCAGCTATTGTCAAACATATTGACAGCTGCTCAAGTTGACTCATTGACCCCATCCCTCGACGTCCTTCTCCGTCTTCTGCCGTTTGGCTTCGCGTTCAGCCATCTGCCCGCAACGTCTCGGGGCCAGCCGGCCGCTGGGCCAGCCCACTCCAAAGGGCGCTGCTCAGCCAGAGGTCAAACACTGCGGTGGATGAAGAACACGGATGCGCCAGGGATTTCCCGCGGAACTTGCCAGAAAATGCCAACCCGACTCCTGCAAGTAAGTCCGACGGATCCCTATCTGCCAGGCGACGGCAGAAGCTGCGGCCGGGCCAGAAGTTGCAGGCGCTTTGGCCTCGGCCAGCAACAAATGCATCGCGCCATTTTCTTTGCGTGGTCTTCCTGGCTTCCTGCCTTCCTGAAGATTTCCGTCGCACCACGTGTTAGATTGGTGCTTCATGCTTGCAAAGACTTAGCAAGAAAGCAAACACCAGCACCAACCACCATGTCAGCTGCTGCCCGGCTGCACTGCCAGCAAAGCCCTGCAAAAAGCCTGAGCCGTGTTCTGACTGCGCTCCATTTGGACTTTCTATCTCTGTGGAACCAGTAAGTGTCGAACGGGTGCTGGATTTCGGGACAGAGCCGAAAGGAGCACAGGGCCCAACTAATCTCTTCCCCCTATTAATGAATGACCCCAATTAATAAAACATAAAAATCCGGGGCCCGGGACCAGATTTCCACTCCGCACAATTGATTTTTAATTGCGCCAATATTACACCAATACTAAAGTCTTGGAATCCTTATTGGGGGGCACTTTTAACAAGCTTCCAGCCCCACTTTTAAAAAGGTGGGTTCCCCAAAAGATGAATTTCCCGAAAAGTTGCTTCCCCAAAAGGTGGGTTCCCCAACAGGTTGGGTCCTTTTGGTGGGTTCCCCAAAAGGTTGTCCCTGACTCTCCAAAAGGTTGTCCCTGACTCCCTGACTCTCTGACCTCACATTGTTGGAAAAGCAAAAAACCCAACCCCAAAAACCACAATTAAATAAATATATATATAGATATATATATATATATATATATTTTGGGAGGATTTATTTATAATAGGAGGGGGGAGGGCCGTCTTTATTAATAGGGGGAAGATATTATCAAATCAGATCGTTTTATTTGTTGACAAGTTGTGAGGGGAGCCTCCAAATCTGCTGAAAACAATCATGCACATGCCCAAAGCATATCCCAGCAACCCTGTAAAAGCTCTGCCAGGCCGCAGAGCCCTCATGGTCTGCTCCTGGGCAGGCATCGGCTGAGCAACTGCCATGATGATCCTTCTGAAGTGGGCTGCCACAATATCGTACTCGCCTGCAAGGCTATGAACATCTTTAGTCACATGTGCGAAGGAACATGTAAAGATCCCCTTTGCCGAGGCACCAGCTGCATCTGAAATCAGCCCATGGCCGCCATGGTTCGATGCACGCCACCCAAAACAATGTCACACAAGAAACACATGGATAATAAACACTGAATTCGTACATGGAAGCCTTTTTCAGATGTTTCAGATTGACTTGTCTGTCATGAATTGGGGATGTCTCAGGCTGTCTTAAGTAGCGAGCTGAGAACACATCACAGCAATGAGCTTCTTTCCATGGTCAAGCATGAATCCCGTGTCTGCAAGCCAGAACGCGCGCACGCAGGCTGGCGGCTTGTTGCATGCCTCGTAATTGGCTACCCAAGCTGGCAGGTACTCATGATGAAATGCAGTTGTGGACATTGAAGAAGTGGAGTGTATTAATGCCGTGACGCCTGCAACTTGAAGTAATACTTTGACCAAAAGTGCCGCCACCTGCTGCAACGAAACACCATACACTGGAGTGTTGCCTGTTGTGCCTTTGGCTCCGAAACATTGCACCTGCCAAAGGTTTGCCCTAAAAAGAACTGGATTGAAAGGTTGTGATACATTTTCAGTTGTTCGTGCGGGTCCAAGAGCGAAACACTCGAGCTTAAATGAACTGGATGCTAAAGCTGAGTGCAACAAACATTTTTTTGCGCGAGGATATTGTCTTTCCAATTGACGGCCTGACTATATAATATTCAGTGGATGGCTCACACAAACTTCAATCCAACAAAACCCTGAACATCATGGAACTTTCAACACGAAAAAAACACAAGGCTGCCAGCCACTTGATTTTTGTGCGCCGACTCCAGTCTGGCGGCCGTCTTGGCCCTGCCAGGAATGGGATCTTTTTGTACCCAGGTGTGTGATGCTGAGTTCCCCTCAGCTCGTTCGACTGGCTGTGGCCAAACAAAAAGTCGCAAATGACAAACCAACACTAGCACCAAACTAATGAAGCCTGACACTTCTGAACCAAACTTCACAAATGAATTGCATATTTGGGCGGTGGGGCTGGACAGGGGCATTCAGCACACAGATTCCGCGCTTGCAGTGCCGCCATGCCCACGCCAAAAGGCGTTGTCGCAACCAACACCCCTTACATTGACCGGCAGGGTGTTCTTGCTCAAATCGAACACTTGCTCACTTGATCGTGCTAGAGTGGTGATGCACTGCCAGCACGCCAGTCATGTTTTGTTCCTATCCAACCTTTGGCATGGCAAAACACACTCTGCTTTGCAGCCCCGCACCAAAACCAGAAGTGAAGAAAATCCATTCGTCGTAACCCTCCACAGCGCTTGAGGCTAATCCCCAATTCAGGCTCCTCCGGATCTGCGTAGCGGCCTCGGTTGCTCGAGAGACGCTTTCAAAAGTTACTCACGCTTCCGCTGCATTGTGAATGCCTGCCAAGTCACTAATTGTGTGAAAAGAGCGCAATATATCACTGGCAACAAGAACCAGAAACAAAGCGGTGTGTTGAGCATCTACCAGGGTAGCTGCGACCAACTCAAACAAATAATCCTCATGTCCAAGCTATGAAGCCAATCTCTGATCCCAGTCATGTCCAGCCCTTCCAACCTCCTGGTTCAAAGTACACTTCGATGCCCCCGGATTGCAATAATTGACAACGCCCGCCTGCGCAACAATGCTCAGCACCTGTTAAACACACGCACATCGCTTGGCATGGTCAAGCCATCTACTGGGCTTTTCGCAATCTCTCCGGCTATTCTCTGCTTGCCTGCCGCATTAAATTCTCTGGATATGTCCGCGACAAACAATTTCACCATGCTGAGAGTCATTGGAGCCTGGGACGGCCGAACGCAATGAGGCTGCAGGTAGTTGGACACTGAAAATGTCAAGGGTGATGGAGGCGTTGTTCAGCTCTGAGGTGTTCACGAAGTTCGCAAATCCCCAGCCTTCAGGTTTGCCCTGGCTATCCAGTGTCCTCGAAAAATCGTGATACAGAGTCATGCACATCATACGGCACGAGAACCGCACCTTCACAACGACGGCCTTCTCCACGTGAAAAAACAGCGCAGCCTTGCCAGGCCTCGATTGTGGGAAGCCTAGAGGGCACAGGGACATCCAAGCGTTGATGCCGGGATAGATCTGGAACTTGTTGCTCGTCTGCCTCTGACGGTTGGCGAAGCCACTGAAGTTATACCCAAGCAAGTCCCAAACAAGTTGGGACGTTCCTTCAGAAACTTGTCCTTGGCACTTGCTCTCCAAAGCGTGGCACTTGGCCGTGAGTTGCTGGAGGGAACCTGCTAGCTCTTTGCATTTGCCCTTCAGCGTGACCACTGCTTGCGCCAGCCCACGGGAAGCATCGCAGCTGCTGGGGTCCAGTCGGACGGCGTAGAGGAAAGCATCGTGGCACGCGTCTTCCTCCTTGACAGCAGCAAATAGCCTGGCTGCTGCGACAGCCATGCGAGCTCCGTCTGCACACCTTTCAGACATGCCGAGCTGTTTCGAAAGAAGCAGGAGCTCTTGTGCTGACAGCTGCTTGAGGTGAACTGGTTGCAAGGTCAAGTTGGGCAGGACATCGGCTGGGATCTTTTCTCCAATCTCCAGAAGAAGCTTGAGAAACAATCCTTCCACATCGATACCACCATCATTGCCAGAGGGCTTCAAGCTCAACATGCTGCAACGCAGCTGACATGCTAGATCTTTGCGAACCTGCACGTCACTGGCATCGATGCTGCGAGCTGTCACCAGCAATTGGAGCTTCTGCTCGTCCTCGCTGCCATCGCATTCCAAGCGACGGGCCAAGTGAACGAAAATCCTCGCAGATCCCTTGGGTGGCCAATGGCCAGCTGTCAAAATTCCAAGGTCATGGTTGAAAAACCCCTTGGCGAAGGCAGCTGCCACATCTTGGTCAGCCAGGTATGCGCGAGCGTGATCCAACAAGCGCAAATCAAGATCCTCGAGAGATACATCTAGCCTGTCGACAAAAGCTGCCAGCAAAACGGCTGAAGCCTTCGTCCAATCGCCGTGTTCATAGCGGTCAGTCAACAGCAAGACGTCCCATAGCTTGTTCAACCGCACATCCTCGCCCAAGCGGCTGGCAAGTCTACATGCAAGTTCCTTGGCGATCAGAACTTTGCTCTTGGCATTTGTTTCCTTGACAGCGTTGTGTAGGACCATGACGATATCTTCCTTAAGGTTTGGAAGCAACGTGCGCAGTTCAGACTCCTCGGTAGCTGAGAGAAATTCCAAAGCTTGCCCATCATCTCGCACTTCCACGAGCAACAAAGCGATCTCTTGGAGCATGGCACATCTGTCTACCCCGGGCAACTGTACTTTGAGAAGCAGCAACGTTAAAAGCTTCCTGCGAGCAGTCGAATCTGGTAGCTGGGCACGTACAAACTCCACAGCTCGTGGGAGCACTTTGCTCGCCAAGTGGTTCGGAAGCTGTGGTGCGACGCAAAGGATCTCCGCCACAACGCTTTCCTTGAAAGAGACCGTTTCCGATTTCACCTTCTTGTTGTCGTAGAGCACCTCGGCCAACACAGGCCAACGTGACCTACGATTGCCTACCAGGCCCAGTTACTGCGTCAAGCCCATCACGATTCATCATTGGATAAGATTTGGAAGCATGAGACTCCTTTGGGTTGTCGGCAGCCTGATCAAAGATAAACTGTTGCAAAACGCAATTGATCCAGTTGGGTTCGTCTCAGAGTCGGGATGATGCCCAAATCCAATGGTTCATTGCCATTCGCCGTGAATGGATCGTTGCCTGTTTTCATATACAAAAAAAAGGGCGCCGAAATTTTGGCACAACCCGGACACAAACTAAGGTGGCACTGCCACCCAGGCACTAGGTTTTCAATCACTGCTCTGGTCATTGGACTCGTCCCTGTCCGCTCCAGGTAGTTTTCGATGCACGACCGCTCGTAAGTGAAGCCATCGCTTGCCACCACAGGGTCCTCCAGGCGACAACGAAGCCGTGTTGCCAGACTGGATACGCCAGTCGGAGCGTTCGGAACTTTGGGTTGTCACTGCCCGCGGCAAACCAGATATGAGCAGCGGACAATGTCAAAGTCAGGCCTTAATTAATGGTTCATTTCGGTGGTTTCCCGGCAATTTGGGGGTACAAGTACTTTGGTATTCCCCCTTCTCGTCCTTCCCCAGTTGCTGATATGGTGAACAGTTTCCCTCGCAGCCTTGCCTCCATCAGCGCATGGGAAATGGGGCAACACAGCTCCGGCGGATCCGTGAGCAAACGCTTCACCTGTGCCCATGCCACGGCAAACGACCTTCCGTACCCAAGTAAGTTTCAAGGTACGGTGTGGATGACCTTTGTGGATCCACCACTGAAAGGTACTGGGAATCATCACAAGCGTATGAATCCACAACTACATATGAGGACACATCACAAATCTGGTATCCGAACCGTGTTCAATAAGGAGCTCGTCCAAGCATTGCGCTGGTTCCTGGTGAAAACCAAATATAATCGACCTGCTTGAAAGTTTTGTCCCTGACTCCTGGGGAACGCATCATGGAGTTGTCCCTGCGCTGCTCAACAACTTCACACTTTGTGATGATCCATGAGGAGCATAGCCAAGCAACTGCAGCAACAGTTGCTTCTGCCTTTCGACTATGCCGACACAAAATTTCATGTGCTGACAACAATGATCAACGGGTGATCGCTTGTGGGGGACGTTATGATGAACCCGGGGCTTTGCAGAGTGCTCCGAGCCGCTTTGCTTGAACGCACTGATTGTCGAGTTGGTAGACGTCAAATATAAATAGTAAGTGTTAATTTGAAAGTCAGCGCTTGTCAGTTTGGTTCGTCGTGTGACTGTTTGACTGGAAGTACTCAATGTTTGAAACAAACAACACACGCCGAGCACTAGAAGGTTCAACAAACGCAGCTGAATAAGGATAAGCAATACAATCAGCGCTGATAACGATGATGAACACTGCACAGTGTAATGGTGTGACCTGGTTCGACACGCGCATGCTTTAAACGATCACGCTCACAGTTACACAGGAACACGTCCAAACCACTGTATTGACATTCACGGTGCACATGATGATCATGTATCATCAATGACCCTGACTAAATCGTCAAGTCATCTGCTGCTATCATAAGTCATCTGCTGCTTATCTGAGGCTGTATCTGACCCTATCCAGCAAAATTGGAATCCGAGCACGGAAGAGAAACATCCTTCTGGCGCCGTGCAGGCTGCCTGCAAGATTCCAGGATGCGACCTGCTCCAGAAATGACCCGAACAAGTGCACAACCATTTCAAGAAGGCGACACAAGTCAAAGCACTCGGAAAATAAACACTACCAGCATCTAGCGGCAATTTGGCAATGTTTCCCTCGGCCATACCATGCCCTCTATGCCAACCTTGCTATGGCAACGAGCCCCGACTCATGCTGCAATTTGGACAAACCTGGGCACCTGCCAGCGCCAAGCTGACATCAACCAGCCTGGTCAAATAACACTAAGTTGTATACCAACCCCAAACTGAGGGATGCCCATGAAAGGATTCTTCCATCTTGGGTGACGTCCCAAGCCGGCGTCGTCTTTGCACCTCTGCAGGCAGATCACGTCTAATGTAGCCTAGTTGCAAGTCCCAAGCCTTGGCCGTTATCTCCAGATTGCTCCCCATCCTCAGTGTCCTGCCAAATGGCAGTATCCGGCAAATGCCACGACAAACAACATATTTCCCACCTGCTATGGCTCCTGAAGATCATGATGCTTCTGACAGTATCTGATAGCGGGTTCCATTGTTGTTAGAGAAATGGTGGATGTTATTTATTTCCACGACTCCAACCGAGCATCACACGGCCAATTTGAGTAAAGCCAAGCCTGCAAACAACTGCGTGCAAAACACCCACCCCCCAAGCTGAAACGGTCCTGACACTGGACGTTCTAGGCATCTTTCGCATCAGGCAGGACCCACTTGGCGAGGCCAAGTCTGGAGAGATGTCCAAACAAAAGCAACCTCAAACACTTGGACATGAGACATTATGATCATAGTTGGGCTCACCAAGTCAGCCATGCGGAACGCTCGTGCCCTTTGCGTCAACTCGTTTGAGTAGCAGTGAAACGATGACGATTAGCCCATCTGCCAGAAGTGATTATATTTCTGTTGGGGCCCTCGCCTGTCCTTCGGTGTAAATGCGCCGGATCGCTCCAATACTTTCACGACTTCAGCAGGTCCCTGAGCTGTGCATTGGTGGCTTCGCACGGTGCGCTCTCAAATTCTGGGAATAGATGATGTAGTTAGCTATAAAGCACCGAAAATTCGCTCGAGGAACAGCAGTTTGGCTGCTTCCACAACCCTGACACAAGCAACAGCTGAAGTACATTGCCATACCTTGCTTGAAGTTTGGTTATTTATCAAATCCAAGGCTGCAATACCGTTGTGAAGCATTAGTCCGTTCATCCACCCCTATGAATGAATCAGTTTTGCAGGCCAAAATCTTAAATCGCTAGCCCCCCCTTTGAGTTTTAATCGACCCAATACTAAACCGCCTATACTAGACTTCTGACAGGCCTTAAGTAGGGGAGCATTCAGCACTTCGCTTTGTTGCGATGCCGCAGTTTGACTTTGAGTTGATAAATCCAAACAAGTGCCTTGAGCCATTTCATATATTATATAATTCCTATCTCGGCAAATTGCGATCTTGACGGATGTTGTGCGTGGCACCGGGGGGGAACCCATTTGGACCCTATTAGTACATGTGTTCCAAAAAGAAAAACTTATTGATTGGGCTGGCGTGGGATTTAAAAATAGGCGAAAAGGATGAGACAACCCCATCTTTCATCATGTCCAGCCTGTCGCAGTCATGACACTACACTTCAAACATAAAGTGAACCTCCGGCTGCCTCCACAGCCTGCTGGCAAAGCCTTGCCGCTCTGGCTTTCGGTGGCCTTGGCCTATAGGGTGCAGGGCGGAATGGGGGAATGGTGGAAGCACTGCCCGAAATCCATCCATCCCATCCCACCCCACCGCACCCTATCCCGTCCCATCCCATCCCGTCCCATCCCATCCCATCCCTCGAGCCGTCGACACAAAGCGAACTCTGCAAACAACTTGATTCCTTGATACAAAACCTTTACATGTTTTCTTGTCAAATTAGTGCTCTTAACAGTTCCAACTGTTGCTTGTATCGGTCTAACACATCGAGCTACATTGGCGCACGCCATGGTGACACAGGTGTGTGTGTGTGGGCACCGGTGTGTGCTTGCGTGTGCGTGTGCGTGGGCCTGTGCCTGTGCGTGGGCGTGCGTGGGCGTGTGTGTGGGTGTGTGTGTGTGTGCTCGTGTCTGCCATCTTCACAATTCTTCACACGTGTTTTGAAATCCACAGACTAGCCTTTCCCTATCTCGTTGCAAAATCAGTGGGAGCAACGAAATGACAAACAATCTGAACATTCCGCATAAACACCATTTCAATGGTCCAAAAGGTCAAAATAGCCAGAAACTCACAACTGAGTCGCAAATGCATCGGCGGACAATCACTGACTTGCCTGTAGTCAGACGAATCATTCCGGAAAGGCCAGGGTCTGAGCGAATTATGATACAATATGGGATCCCCACACAAAAGAACCTTCGTCATGGGTCAGGGTGTAGCCACTCTCCTCGAACGTCGCCATAAGTTGCCCCAGAGACGAATAGATGCTCCCTGAGTCCGAGGACTTAATCTTGTCGCTGCACGAGGCTCCATCTCCCACACAGTTGCGATGGACTCCGTGGACATGCCTTGCCTGCCTTAGTGATCGTGGGCACTTTTGAGAACCACTTGCTGCACTTGACTACTGAAACGACCCATGGCCGGCACATACTGGTACAAAGCGAGCTTTGGTTTCGTATGACAACCAGCATTGCAACCACAATGATCTCCCAATCACAAAGCAAAACCCGGTCACCCACCTGTTCAGTCCAGGCACTCATGCGCAGAATCACATCAGAGAAATCATAGTCCTTCTGACTGGCTTTGTGACCTCCATCGTCATCCTGCGCGGTTCAGCTACGGTGATGAACTCCCCTCCACAATATGTATGATTGACGATTCATTTGATCAAAGGTAAAAAAAAAATCAGATTGACAGATCTGCTTGCTAACGTGCATCCCTCCGCCAAAGCCATGACCGGCGTGTCAGCTGGCGTGTGCCGGAATAACAATCCGTTGAGCACCAACCCCATTCACTGTCGCCATCATGGCGTCTATATCACAGCGTCAACCGCGCAACATGTACAAGCGACACAAGGGAACCCTGAGTTGCACACCTGGTGAAGCGCAACAGAACCTGATGAAGCAAGGAGCACAAGTTGTGCAGCCCGGTGTTTCGATTATTCTCTGTCTCCGCCGGTGGTGGCGCAGGCTTCCAGAAACATTGATTGAAAACCAGTACTTTCACAAATGTTGTGCTTCATTGATTCATCAGGACTGATAGACTCCTTGCCAGAACTCCGAAATCATGGTTCATCCTTTGTCGCCTTTGGATTGAGGCAGTTTGACACGTTCATTCACTTCAGCGGTTCCTCCGAATTCCTTATATATCCTGAGTACGGGCCTGACCTTCAGGCGCAACATGCTCGCGTGAACGCAAGCGTCGCTCACGAGTAGGCCAACCGACATACAGTGGCCAATCAGCTCATGCTGCTTTTAATTGTGTTGTTAGCATCCACTGTTGGCATGCCAACCTATCATTTTCAAGCAGTTATTCACGCCCATTGATTAAGCTGGTACTTTCTGATATAAGCAAGCAGCAATTGTCAAACATATTGACAGCTGCTCAAGTTGACTCATTGACCGCATCCCTCGACGTCCTTCTCCGTCTTCTGCCGTTTGGCTTCTCGTTCAGCCATCTGCCCGCAACGTCTCGGGGCCAGCCGGCCGCTGGGCCAGCCCACTCCAAAGGGCGCTGCTCAGCCAGAGGTCAAACACTGCGGTGGATGAAGAACACGGATGCGCCAGGGATTTCCCGCGGAACTTGCCAGAAAATGCCAACCCGACTCCTGCAAGTAAGTCCGACGGATCCCTATCTGCCAGGCGACGGCAGAAGCTGCGGCCGGGCCAGAAGTTGCAGGCGCTTTGGCCTCGGCCAGCAACAAATGCATCGCGCCATTTTCTTTGCGTGGTCTTCCTGGCTTCCTGCCTTCCTGAAGATTTCCGTCGCACCACGTGTTAGATTGGTGCTTCATGCTTGCAAAGACTTAGCAAGAAAGCAAACACCAGCACCAACCACCATGTCAGCTGCTGCCCGGCTGCACTGTCAGCACAGCCATGCAATAAGCCTGAGCGGTGTTCTGACCGGGCAAATGGACTCTCTGTTGGCAAATGTGTTGGCGGGTGTGGGATGTCGGGACTGCAGGAGGGTGCACGGGTCTTTCAAGTCAGCTGGAAACGATGATGTCCATGGCCACAATGTCTCCTAGCAACCCTGTCAAAGCTCTGACCTGTCAAAGCTCTGACCTGCCAAGCCGCAAAGCCTTCATGATGCTCGGCTCCTGGGCAGCCAGGTGAAATCGCATCGCAACCTAGGCCCTCGGCCCGGGCGCATACTTGTGAAGGTAACAATAGCAATGCGCGACATTTTCTTTGAGTGGTCTTCCTGACCTGAAGCTCGAGACTATTCGTCCTCTGCAAGGCTTTAGTCACACCTGAAGGAACATGTAAAGATTCCCTTTGCCAAGGCACCAGCATCTGAAATCAGCCCATGGGGGCCACAGTTCGACGCATGCCCCACCCAACACAATCTCACACAAGAAAACATGGATGATAAACACTGAATGCGCACGTGGAAGCCTGTTTGCACATTGACTTGTCTAATCTGCTGTCGTGGCTGGGGAATCTCTGAGGCTGTCTTGGGTAGCGAGCTGAGACCAACACATCAAAGAAAAGGAGCTTCTTTCCATGGTCAAGCATGGCATTCCCCGTGTCTGCAAGCCATAAAGCGCGCAGGCAGGCCGGCGGCATGTAGCATGCCTCTTAATTGGTTACCCAAGCTGGTAGGTGCTCATGATGAATGCAGTTGTGGACATGCTGAAACGGAAATCAAGTCTTCCAAGGTCATGGTGTGTAGCAATGATGTGTTGCCTGCAACTTGGAGCCAAAGTGCCTCACCTGCTGCGACAAAACACCATACTTGGATTGTTGCCTGTGATGCCTTTTGCTCCGAAACATTGCACCTGCCAAAGGCTCGCCCTAAAACAGAATTGGACTAAAAGGTTGTGTGATTCCTTTTCAGTTGTTCGTGCCGGTCCAAGTGCGAAACACTCGAGTTTAAATCATTAAATGAACTGAACAAGCATAGGATGTAGAAGCTGAGGGCAACAACCTGGATTTGCGCGAGGATATTGTCTTTCCAACACATGAGCGGCCTGACAACTATATTAAGTGGAGGGCATGCAAAAACTTCAAGCCAACAAAGCCCGAGCACCTCCATGGAACATTCAACACGAAGCTACTATAAAATAATAAAGCCATGAAAGATAGAAAAAATATCCCATTCTCCCGTCTTATCTCTGTGTCTGGGATAATGGGTGACAGAGATTAAGAAAGATAATTATTATAAAGAAAACCAATAATAAGAAATAAAAGAAACAAAATAAAAAATATAAAAAAAGGACATGAAGAAGTCAATTAACGCCAGGCTGTTACCAAAGGCATGACTTCTTCATCCAAGTAAGAGGCTGCCAGCCACTCGTTTTTGGCGCGCTCACTCCAGTCTGGCGGCCGTCTTGGCCCGGCCAGGAATAGGGTCTTTTTGTACCCGGGAATAGGTGTGATGCTGAGTTGCCCCTCAAGCTCCCTCAATTGGCTGCGGCCAAAACAAAAAGCAGCAACCGCATCAAAGTCAACACTCCAGACCGCAAGTAGCCAGAAGCTGATTTCAAAAAGGAATTGACGTGACAAACGGTTCAGATGTACATCTTTTCTGGATTCTTCGATCCGCAGTAAGCCTGGAAGCCACCCAGAATCATTGGCTTCATGCAAAGCGCGCTGAATTCAATGATGGCCAGGCCTTCTATGTACATACCTGGCATCTGCCCTTCCACCTCGAGGCCAGTTACCCTGAAGTTTTTCTGTTATTTGGAGGCAAATCATGTTTGGAGAGCGGGGCAAAGTGGGTGCCCAACCTCCCTTGAAACATGGGAAATAATTTCCAACAAAAATATGGCTTTGCGCGTGGCCTTGTCTGTTTCTGCTGGTATGGCCCATTGCACTTGATCATCGTCTATCTAAGCCGTGCCCAAGCTGGGTTGCCGGAGCACTGCAGATTCTACGCAGCCCAAATTGGCGGTTTTGAGGTTTGCGATTGCGAAGCTGTGCCACCCTTGAACCGTCGCGGAAGTGCAACAGTGCAACCGATGTCGGACTAAGTCTAATCAGTCACTGCCCCAGTACTCTGTGTACTCCTCGTGCCAGCGGCTCAGAAGCTCTTGCACCTCCTGGGGGGGGGGCATCACGGGTATGGGCCACTTGTTGCTGCACTGCTTCACAAATTAATTGACTGCCCATGCTGCAAGTGGTCGCGGTTGCAATAGTGACTCATTAATCTCAGTAGAACTCAATGGTGTACGAAAGCATAGTTGCGTAGGCCCGGTCACACCTTTCATTCATATGCAATCAATGCAACATGTGCGACCCTTTGCGGCAAGGCAGCTTACATTGGCTTACATGTACCAAATTGTTGGAGTCCTTGATTTCACGAGCCCACAACATCCCAGGGCGAAGCATCAGGAGCCCAGGGAGGACTCGAGCGATCCGCGCAGAATCCGCGCCACTGGCTCCTGGAAAAGTCCCTCCGCGAGCTTCTGGGACAACTCCTGGAGGCTCGGGTTCTCGTGGCGGTGCTTCACCTGAGCTTCGCTCTGAAACCAACGACATAGTGGCACTCTGTCGGGACCTTCTCTTGCTTGCCCAAAGGACCTTGAAATAGAAGGTTAACCTTTTGGCGCGCTGACTAAAAATGAACCAAAGTGGGAAGCAAGTGAGCTCCGTCAAAGCACACAATTGCGCTTGGGTCTCAGGAAGAGGCCAGTTCCTGTTTCCAGTTCAATTGGCTGGGAAGGGGCCGGAAGTAAAAGGCCGATCGAAGGGCCGCCAAATGAAACAGGGCGTCCTCCAAACAATCGCCCTTTACCAATCAGGGATGAGAATTACAAGTGTTTAGCGACCTAGGTATGAAGAAGCTGTCTTGTGAGCCCAAGCGACATGCGGTGATCTGGGTACATGCTCATGTCACAGGAAAGCCCAAGAAGTTGACCATGTTCAATCAGGTGGGGTGGTTGGTTGGGGGTGATAGTCATCACAGAAAATGTCACAGATTATGCGGGGTTGGTCTGTATTCAATGCTGGAACCCGGCAGTCAATGGACAATCGAATGATTTGGACATTGCTTGTGGGGTTGGTGTTGCCCAAATGGGTGGAATCACCCCTGACCGACGCACTGCGCCTTCACCACCAACGGCCACTGGCCATCTGCCGGCAGCTCCTCGGAGGAAAACTCCCGGATCTTGACCTACGGCGAGCCACGGGGAGCCCATGAGGCCGCGCGGCGCCAAACCGCATTGCGAGGTTCGGCTGAAATCCAGCTGTTCTATGTGTACCGGCCTTTGTTGGGGCTGACTCATGCGCCTGGCTTGCAAGTGGCATAGTGGCACATTGGAGTCCAAACGTGCAATCGCGAGGCATTTCCTTCCATGCGTCAAGCTGGCCATCACCAGGTCAAACAAATTTAGCAACCCGCGTGACTACGTGACTACAGCAGCATCGAGTATCATCCGACACACACAGCGCACACACACACACAAACACCAACAATCATACATGCAAACACCAAAACTCACATTCATTGTGAAACTACCACCGCCCTCTTCCATGAACCACCTGGACGCCACAGATCCGACGATCGCCCCATGTTGTTCCAGGGCACAGTGCCACCCAGGGTCCGATTCTTTGCCACCGAGGCAGGTGCCTGCGAGCGCTACGGACCCTCGGCACGTCAACAGCCAACATGTCAGTGTCAAGAACGAAACGGAGGGGAGAAACAATTGCTATACCAGCTCAGCCATCGGAATGTAAAAGTGCTCTTTCTGACTGTGCGCCTTCTCCTTCTGTCTGAGAGTCAAACTTGGCCTGAAATCAGAGTCTTCAAACATGTTCAACGATATTTCGTGGGGGCCAGTTTCATCCAATGCGTAGGCCCCAACATGTGGCATGCACCATTCTGCAAAGGAAACATTTCCCTGGGACCGGAAATCAAAACGCTAACATCCTCGCATGACTTGTCCCACAGCTGAAGCTTGACGCTTTTGACCTGCGTTTAGCGACACGTGCCTTCTGCTCCGCGTCCTTCGCAGCCACGGAGATGAGGGCCTCTGCAGTGCGGTAGGAAGACTCCTCGCGGGAGGACACGTGGACCTCCCACTCCAGCTTCAGGAAGTAGTCCTCAAAAGCTCAGCTCCCTGACAGTGTCCATTCCAAAGGGAGAGCAAGGGGGGCATGTCACCTGGTCAGACCAGGTTTGTTGGACTCTTTACACCTGCAAAAGAAGTGTTTCACATTCAAAACATGGTCGGCGAAAGTCATTGGTCAAGGCAAAGGTTGATGTTCGGTCGAAAACAGGTAGAATTTCGCCTTCATGGATTGTCGCCGTGAAAAGGTAACAAATGCCCGAACATGGAGTTATGTCGACGAGGCATGAAACGTGCACCGCGAGCTTCACTGTGGAACGGATGAGTTGGGCCAAATGAATGACTCTACGTATGATGATCAGAACTCTAGTTGAGCATCATGCAGGTCAACTGTGCCCTGCGTGAGGCTGCATTCCTCATGATGCACTGAGATTGCGAGCTGAATTCACTCCATTTGGTGGTTGTGAGTGGTTTGGAGGTTAGGGGCGAGCTTCCGCATTCGCTCTGCAGAGATTCAAACCTCCAAGGCACTAATCGGGGTCAACCCGAGGGATGATATCATCCGACATAAAACGCTCCGGACTCGCATGCAGACTTTCCTCTGCGACCGGGGCGATGGGGACCTACAAATGAACACGCCACCAAAAAAGGCAAGGCACGGCAGCCTGCACATTGACCATTTGTCGGAAATGAATTTCAGAATGAATCAAATACTCTAGCACATCCAAGCTCCCACAAAGCAATCGCACGGCCACCCTTCTGTTCAAAGACGTTGCATGCAGAACTAACCTGCAACCTCAACAACGCAAAGAGCGGCGGACAAATTTCATGCGACTTGCTCAATTATGTTGATGAGGCCCATCCCTTTCCAGCAAAGGTGCAAAGTAATGCAGCGGGCGCTTCTGCGGGTTCAGGCGAATCACAGATGCATCGCCTTCTAACTTCCTCAGATCAAATCAATGTGCTTTTCAGGCATTTACACCGTGAATGACGCAGATCCATTTGTTGAGCATGCAGGCGGAAGGTTTGGGGCTTCGTGAAACAGAACCACTTTGCCGAGGCATGCTAGGTTCCTGGGATCTGCCAATGGCCGATTGGAGCAAACTTCGGATAACTGCAACCTGCACGATGACAATTCGACCATTGCAATAAGCGAAACCCCGCCCGCCAGCTTAATTTGTGTCCGCGCGTCTGTGCCTTGAATCGAAGCCATGATCATGGCTTTTTTTGTTTTGATTGGGGGCTGCACTACTGGCTACCATGGCCTACTGGTCTTAACCGTTTAACCGAGCCCTTGCGAAACGAATCCCGTCGCCACGCGGCAGCACGTCGGTGACCAGCGCCCGCAGCACCGGGCCCTCCTTTGGCGGATCCTCCACCTGCTGCGCCAGGTCCGGCGCGAGGTCGGACTGGAGCAACGAAGGGACCAGCAGATCCTGGGGCCAATTGGAGAGGTGGCGGAAGAGAACAACAATTACCCCCAGGTGTTCTCAGTTGTTCACTGTATCTCTCGGTTTGGTGGGTTCCTTGCTTGAAATGGTCGACCCTGTGATCCCCCCTCACTTGTTCGGTGTATCTCTCGTAGTGGTGGGTTCCTCGCTGGACATGGTCCACCCCTGATCTGAAAGAGGCCATCCAAGGGGTAAGCCGACCAAAAGGCAGAGATGAGACGTCCCGCTCCCGCAGGCGCTGGCGGCACCATCGGTCCACCTGCTTGGCTTCCCACATCTGAGGTGTTATCCTGGGCCCCGCGGCCTGGCGATGGGTGGATCACCCCAAGGGATTTGGTCGAAGACAAAGCCACATAATACCAGCCCCAGGAATGATACACGTGGAAGCCACCAACATGGAAAGCAGCCAAGGAGTTGCATTAGGCGACTTTCCCACCCAGGTGCTCTCTGTCACTGCCATGGCCTCTATCTGCTTTCGATGCTCTACTCGCTGCTCTCGCCAAGCATCATCCTCTGCCCACTGCTCTTCCTTCTTGACCTCAGGGGAGCAATAACCGCAACACGGGCAGCACATGAATTGCGCAGTATGCGAGCTTGAAGGGGCGTGGCTGATTCCTCAAAAAACCACAGGGTACGTTTCCTGAAAGTAGTGCAATATCAAATGAAAACAGGAAAACAGATAAGACAACAACATCACAAACAGTGTCCAGGGGCCAAGCATGATCCAGCTTCTACATCGATTGACGTTCACTTGACTGACAAAAATCTTAGCCGTTGGACAGTTTAGCCTTTCCAAACTGTTGGCACCAATTCTCATGAAATGCGGCACACGGTTCCCCGCATGCTGTTTTTCCTGGGGCGATGCACCCGCACCTTGTCTAAAACCTTTTTCTTCTGCTGTAGCTCGCCGCTTTGCTCGCATGCGCGAGCCTCCTTCTGCCTCAAGCCACACAGAGAGCAGCGACAGAACGTATTGAATTGATTCCATGCATTCAACAGAACATGTGAGCCTCCATCGAAATTTGGTCTTGTATAAGGGCATCTGAGATTCAGTGAGCCCCTACCGTTTTTCAGGGTTGCATGGTCATCGTCTTTTTGTGAGCCCCGATTTCGCTTCACCCTACAAAGTTGGCGTCCGTCCTTTACATCTGGCCTGCACCTCAATTTAAAGGAACCTCATGCGATGCAATGGCCCTCCATCTGCCAGATCCTTTGCCGAGTTGCTTGATAAACTCATCGAAGTCCTCGGTTTTCTCCTTGCCCTTGGACTCGTCGATGATGTTCAGCAGCTTCTGCTCCAGCTCGAGCGTCTGCTTCTTCTCCTCCTGATAAAAGCATTTGTTTGGCCTCTTGGCCTACCTGAAAGTCCTTCTCCATGGAAAGGGCAGCAGCCTCTACTTCTTCTGCCGATTAGTGAGAGAAAACAATCCTCTTCCCCACCAGGAGGCAAACAGGAGGCTGAAGCTCGCTTCGCAGAGCACCTTTTCATGGCAGAAACTCTTTCTCCCGCCGAGGCCCGTGACCCCGGACACGGCCACCTGATAAAAGCATGTGTTTGGCCTCTTGGCCTACATGAAAGTGCGAAGGTTTGCTCCTCTCCCCTCATTCCTCTGTGGGGGAGTGCCTGATTTGCCACAAATAACAAGCGCCAACTGGAATATGGGGCAAATGCTGCAAACAGCTGCGTCTTTGTTGCGCGGCGCGGCTAGCTCTATGGGTGTCCTCCTTCTTTCGCACGGGTTCCATCTCCTTTTCCTCAGGGCCATAACACGCCATGTCATGATAGGTGCTCACAGGACAAGTTGCGACTCTACGTCAAGGCTTTGTTCAATCAAAACCGGCTTGGATGATGTCATGGGTTGTCACGATGCGGATGCCTGCTTAAACACAATTCGGATTGCCTCAAAAGCCAACAGCAACAAGACTACAGTAATTAGCATCGAACAAGGCCGTTCGTGCTTGTCAAATGTTCCAGCCCAGCCTTTAACATGAAGCCATGTGTTGATGCAATGTTCCGGAGATGTCTATCCTTTTGCCTCGTGAGTCGAAGAAAAACTTGTGCAATGGTGTTTTTTTGTTTTTCTTTTTCTTTTTTTCTGGTCACTGTGCGGACGACAAACATTAAACATGTCAAGGAATACCAGAGGCATGCGGCTGGGCAAGCGTCAACATGTCCGCAGCGCGGCCACGCAGTTTTTGCGTAAAAGACCAGCCCGCCCCTAATCTGTTGGATCGCCCTCCAGGCAATCGAGCAGCCCGTGCTTCGTACAGCATCTTGCCTCGGCTGCAGTTGTCCATCAACGTCTCCCAATATGCACACGAAGATCCCTGAGGCAACAGTTTGTACACGCACACAAATGACACACTTGCAGCCTGTGTAGTGCTGTGACTTTAGGGGTGCATCGAGCAAGGGAGACACATTTCCTATGACTATCGCATTTGCATGTAAGCCTTTCCTTTCAGTCTCCACCTGCACGTCACAAAGTCCAAAGCAGAAAATTGGGGATAAAAGCGATACTGTCAAGGAGAAAGCAAGGACACTGAGACCTTAGACTACCTCTAAGTGGAAAGCACTTTGATTCCTCCAAGGATGTCGTGGAGGTGCTCGCTGGCCAATCTCGCTATCGGAAGCAACGTGCAGCTTGGCCCTTGAAACAGCAAATCTTTGAACACGGCGCAAGGTCCGACACCCGATCGAGCAGCTACCGAAAGCTGAAGCTGCGCCGCGGTTGTGGCAAATCAGATTCTCAGTGCTACCGAAGTGGGCCTTCACCATGCCAACTTCACCAGGTACTCCAAACTGAAATCCCCAGGTCTCGCATAATGGTCCAGAACCATCTGAGCTGCCAATCCCCATTTTTGCTTGCTTATCTTAAGGCCCAGCGGTCCAGATCTGAGCTGCCTTTCGAGAGCTTCTCAAAGGCGCCCTGCATCTGCTGCCGCTCCTGCGCTTTGGCCAGCCGCTCCTTGCCTCGTCGCAGAAACTGGCGATGAGAAACGGCCAGATGCGTTCCTTGACAAAGACACGCAAACACGCAAGGGAACTCATTCGGCAGCTAAATGCACACATACCTGATAATCGAAAGTAATAAAGTACTAGATATGCACATATCAAAGAAGCGTTCAAGCATGTAACATGTGCTAACCACACATGACATTACACTCCCAGTCATGCTGCTATCTGGATTCAAGCTGTTCCTGACACTACTGCCATTTGTAAGCACCACGAACATGTTTAAACTTGCAAAATGGCCTTTGCACAGCGCTGATTGGAATGCAATTTGGGGTTAGAGTCGTCACCTTTTCAACTTTCCTGAAATATTCCACACAATTCATGGGAGAGACGGCCCTGACAAGCCCCCAAGCCGCAAATCAGGCAAGTCAACTTCATGAGCAGCACGCACACATGGAATTGCCGCACAATACGCAAGGCACGCGCAATGGGTGCTTGTCCTGCGTCTTCCCCCGTGTTGATGCCCAACAATCGTAAAACTCCGAGCCAAATGCCCACCCCTGCGGGCAAAGCCGCGGCGTTGCTCCAATCGACGCTTCTCTTCCGCCTGGTCGCGCTTGACCGCTTCCTTCTGCAGAAAGCCTTAGGCCAGCGCGTGAAGCTTTAGCCAATCCGACTTGAGAATCCCAAGTAGCCCAACCGGGAACCCACAAAGATGCAAGCAACTGGAAGTTTGGCAAATGTCGGTGACCTGCGAGGCAGCCGCAGTTGCACAGCTTTCGACCAATGGAATACAACAGCTAGAATCACCAAGTGGGAAAACTGGAAATGTCAAACCGGTTGTGTCCCTGGTACGGCCCCAAAAACGGGGAAACGGACTGGGGTCGACTGGGGGTCTTCCAAATCATCTCATTCTGTTGAATTAAGGCTTGTTCCATAATATGGGCAAGCGGCTAGCACCATGCATCCCAAACACCTCCCCACCAGAGTTCGAGTCACAATCGAGCCTAAAAAGTCCGTATGTTCGCCGCGACTCAAAGGCTTCGAAAAGAAGCTTGCACGAGCGTAGGCATAACATAAGTGTGCAAGATACGCTCTAAGAGCGAGACAACATAATATAACCTGGGCCGCACAGCGTCCATTTTGACAACTTACCTCACACGCACACGGCAAACAAACAAGCAAGCGAGCGAGCAAGCAGAAGACAAACACACAGACTGACAGACAGGCAGGCAGACAAAACAGACAACAAACACCCAAACAAACAAGCAAGCAAACAAACAAGCAAACAACAAAACAAACAAACAAAACAACACAAACAAAACAAACACACAAACCAACCAACCAAAACAAACAAACAAACGAACAAACAAACGAACAACAAATAAGGAACTACTAAAAACATGACAACAAATAAGCAGACAAACACGCACACAAACGAGTCCACAAACACACCTACTCGCACAAAGGAATGGTGGTGGCCTTTACATGAGCAAATGATGCCAGTGAAGAACAAGACAACATAATATTTGTTCAAAGTTGTGTGTTGGAACAATATCGCTTGACGCTAACAGTTCTAGATTCTGCCACATTCGTACTAAGCTTCCTCAGGCAAACAGCTCAGGCCGCGCCACCAAAAAACCCGTTTCAAGTGCCCCACTTCTCCTCCGAATGCCTCTTTCACATGCCATTCCTTGGGATGTCGGGTGTCTCAGGGTACTTGGGCGTCGGCACCTCGTCGGACGACACGAAGCCGCGGCGCCGCCCCAGGCGACCTTCGCCTCGCGCGCGGCCTCCGCGAGCTTCGCGCGCACGGACGCCAGCTCCTGAGAGCGTGCGAAGGTCGGATGCCTCGACACCAGTTGACGAATTTGTGGACAGCGGAAAGAAATCAAAGAACATCAAAGGGGGGCATCGAAGCTCATGTTTGTGTATGTGCATGTTTGTGATTGTCACAAACTGCCAGTCAGACAGAGTTTCCCTGGATTTTCCAGCCTCAGCGATGGACCACTGCGCTGATGAACATAAATGAAACAAAGCAGGCAGAAACGCACAAAGCCTCGCAGGTCCTTGAGCACTTCCTGATGATCAGGTTGGAGCTTCAGCACCGCCTGTCAAGCCGACTGAAGCCACCTCCCAGCTGAACCTTCCTGGCTCATGCGATGGAGCGACCAAACAAGCCTCACACACTTTGCGCAAAAGGTGCCTGCTGACTCGACCTGAAACCGGTCACCAACTTCACCAACCTCAGAACTGAGCCCTCGAAACCGTAAAGCCCTCAACCCCCCAGACCTTAAATCCGGAGCGCCCTAAACCTAACCCCAAAAAAACAAAAACCCTAAACGACCCAAAACCTGAACCTTAAACACCCCGCCACCCAAAAGCCCTGCCGCAAACCTGAACCCCAGAAACTCCATACCCAACCCGAACCCTAAACACCCCAAACCCAAACCCGTACAAGAAAGCGGCCCCAAGCAGCCTACTTGTCCTGTGGGGTGGAACGCGTGGATTGAGGATAATGTTTGATTTGCGGCCGATACAATATGACCCGGCAAACTCATTGTAGTCACGCACACACATAACTTCTCAGTACACGCAGTCGTCTCTCCCTGCGCTTCTTTTCAGGAAACGCTGTCACATGTTCTGAGGTTGCTTTCCACGCTCGTGGCTCTCTTGGCGCCCTGGTGCACCTGGAAGTCTTCTTTGGCTTCCTCGTTCTTTCCCAGGCCTGGCATGCAATCTAGTCCCCTCGGCAACTGACTCTTGACAATGCGTGCGGGTGCTAAGGCTTGGTGACTTCGTGGGTGGCCAGACAATTCGGTGGGCCAAGGGCTTGCTGACAAAGTGGGGACTTGCAAACTTCAATATCCTGCAGTGCCATCCCTTCACAGAACTGGGCATACAGTGGGTTTTGGAGCTCAAGGTAATGTCGCAGTCATTCGCATAAGCCACTTTCCATTAGGCCTAAGGAGCACAAACGCAAGCTTGCAATGTATCGAGTAGGTCTGAACCTTGTGGAGCGCCACTCGCGAACACTGGGGCGCACACAAACAAACCAAATAACAAACACAACACGTGCCAAAGAATTGCAACACTCCATCTGTCCATCAACCCAGCTGTCGACTACTGCGCCACTCTGACTCGGGACATTCCATGCCATGGCCGTTGCGAGCTGCCAGTGGCAAAACAAACCACTTCGCGTTCCTTTCCGCGCAAGTGCCGGCCTTTCCGCGCCAGGCCGCGGCGAAAAAGAGCCTGAGGGAGAGCCAAAGCTGAGCTGGGCAAAATCGCACGCCACAGGGCGAGTATGAGTAGCACGTGTTCCCGAAAGCCATTTCAACTTGGCCGTTGATTGCACAGTATGGCGGAATGACCCATGGTCTATTCAGGGTTGCTCCTACATGAAGGTTTTTCAATCTCGAGAATTCCTTTGTTCATTTCATGTCAACTTGAAACGAAAGTCACCGAGATATCTTGGAACAACCAATGGCAATTGACACTGATGAGTGAATACAACAACACACATACCAAGAACTGGCAGATGATGGGTTTCCTGTTGGCTTCCCTTGGAAGCAGGCGGCTTTGCTCTGCGGCACAACGCAGGGCAACAATGTTGGCCGGAGAGCTCGACACACGTGGCATAGTTCAAGGCAATTTTAAAAGCCCATGTTCCATCGGCAGCAGCCCAAACACTAGATACTTAATCAATCCAGAGTCAGGTCAGGGCATGATCAACTACAACACATTCACGCAGCAGCCACAAGGACAAGTAGGATACGCCTCCCAAAGGTTCTGCGAAACATCGTCGACAAAAAACGAGTGCTGCTTACAACCCCCCCGTTTGCTCTGGCATGCTTGCGTCTAGGTGGGCTTGCACTACCATACCCGGTGGACCATACACAGCCCCTGTTCCTGCCCAAGACTTCCCTCAACCAAATTGAAGGCCCAGCCTTCGCACGCAGCCCACTGGGCACGGCGTTCTTGGGCAACTCTGCGATCTGCAGCGCCTTGCCACAAACCTCCTCAGCGAATTCCATGTCCCCATTGCGGAGATAGACCTGGCACACTCTCACGAAGTTGGCCGCTGTGACACACATACACACACGCATGCACGGGCTTCAACGCTCTCCAACATCTTTGCCTGGGACGGAAGAAACAATTGATGCAACATTCCAAGTGCTTGTGACTATTGGGTAATATGTTACTGAAGGAAATATTGCCTAACAAAGCCCTAGTCGACATGTGATGCAAACCGCTTTGCACGTCCCTTGCAACATGACTGACATGGTGATGCCCTCACTTTGCCCACAAGGACCCTTTCACAACATTGAAGTGGCATACTGTGTATGAGCTGGCTTCGCGTTGCGTAAATTGTGTTGCAGCCGTGCATATCCCACAGTACGTGATGTTGTTTTCTTGATATTAACTCTCCATGTTACTTGTACGGAACATCCCACGTTTCGAAGCACAAAAGACTGTCCAGTGGCCCTTCACATGCCCCTCAAAAGCATCATGCGCAAATGGGTGAGGGTGACGGTCACCCCGCCTGCGCGAGATTAGAGTACAAAGGCACCAGCAGCTCATTCCGCTCCTTCCGCCGCGCATCAACCAGATCTTCAACGTAGATGATGGCCTCTCCTTAGACAAGAAAACACCTGTCCGAGGTGAGCGAGTGGCTGGGCCTCTGAGCAAACTCGGCTTTCAGCGAAAGCCGAACGTCCAAAACCCGTTGGGGGTCCCGTGCCAAAGGCCAAAGGACTGCCATCCCAAACAAAGCAGTCGCCTGCTCGGTAGGAGGGCTCACCGGGATTGGAACGCCTATCACGCCCCCGTCTGATTGTGAAGCCCATGGGGCAGGTACTAATTATCACGTGCATTGGAATCGACCGATGCTTACTTTACTGTGAATATATTCGGCTGCTATATTGTATCTTCCTCTGAAGAAACCATGCATTCTACTCCACAAATTTTGCTCCCCGCCCCCCAAGTTCTCGAGTCAATCACATCACGATCTGGCTCTTCGGCCTCTGTTCGCTTGCCCAAAGGCTGCGAAAGTGAAGCCCAGCTAACATTTGCAGTGACAACACCAACTTTCTCAAGGGCCCATCCTCATTCTTAGTTGCCGTAGTGAGGGCATCCATGCTAGCAAGCAAAAAAACAACAAACTCAAATGTCCATAAACCCGCCCGCTCCAGAAGCTCACGGACGTCTGTTTGGTTGAAGGTTTTCTCAGCACTGCTAGTGCAACAATGCCTGGCGTCTCGATGGCGCCTTGTTCTAAAATGTTATCAGGATATCAGGAGAGGTGACCCACCTGGGGATCTGAGCCACCTGTTTCTTGGCAGTAGTAGGTGGGATGCCTTGCAAAACTCACAAAAATGCTTGGATTCCGTTGGCTTCTCGAATCGCTACATGCAAGAGCCTTGCATTTGGATCTTGTGCCTCTCAGGGTGCAAGGTGCGTCGCCCATAGGCACGGTGCATCTGTAGCGAGCCTTGAAGTTTGAAATGGGCTCTTGCCTGTCACTACTGGCTTCGAAGGGTTTCCCTACACCGTCGATTCTTTTCCATCGGGGGAAGTACTCTCGATGCCACCAAACAATCACGTGGGTGTGGTACAAAAACCGTTGAAGGGTCTTGAACATAGGTGGCCTTTTGAAAAATAGATGGCCCTGGTAAATGGAGTAAACCCCATCTAAACCAGGGCCCTCGATTTTTTTCAGCAAACCAACAAGGACACCTATGGTCTTGAAGTCAGCGCCTGGAAGCCGGGGCGCTGTAGTAGTCCCGAGCCTCCAATAGGTTCCCGCACTTAAACTTCTCGTTGCCGATCCTCAGTGCGTCGGGGGGCAAGGGGTTTTCTGACCCCTGATGAACAAATCCTGCACCAATTATCCCAGTATTCGTAGGGTTTCATTCATCCATACTACTTCTGCATTTTGTCCATCTGCAGTACATCTACAGTAGAGTAATTGCCAGCATGTAGGCCAATGATACTATGTTGCCACTTCGGAGCAAAGGGTACCCCCACCCCCCGTATCTACAAACCATGCATGGCATGGCCAGAGCCAAGGCCGATGGTCTACATTGAGACGACCACCCAGTTCCCCCCTGACTGGAAAGAAGCTGCCATGTCGGCCCGGGCCATCCGGCCAATTACTGAGCTGGAGGTTGGGTCAAAGGACTCGCAAGGCGGCTGCGACCCTGAATAACACGAAAGCGTGCTTCAAGCGCGAAACATCAACACATCACCTACGCGCAGTGATGCCGATGACATTTAAAGAAGTGCATTGTTTGTGAGAAAGTTGCAAGCTGCACCTGGTGAAGAGCGTCGCAGGAATGTCACTCAAGAAACCGAAACGTGCCTCAACCTCTTCTGGGTTTGGGCAGGCAGCACTGGGCTCCCTAAACAAAAATGCAACCCGGGCTGGCATGCAAAAGCAATCCGAGCAAGCCACTTTGGGCATCCCCCGACACAGCCTAAGAGGTTCCTTGGGCACAAAGAGTCGCCGAAAAAACGACCCTCTCTCTCAGATGAATTCGGCCACAAGTCGAGCATCCCTCAGACAGCCGGAGGGCATGGGGAGGGCATGGATGCCTATGAAGAGATTAAAAAGGAAACATGGCCACTGTCACTCTGTACTCCAGACTTCTCGTGATTTGAAAGAGCCGCTCATGGCAAGCAAAGACGCGATCCCAAACCTGCACTGCCTTGAACGAGGCAAGCGTGTTTGTGAGAACGCGGGGGAAAAAACAACACTGTGGCTTAGCATGGTTGGACACCGAACGAAAATTATCCTAGTTGATTGCGCCCTCAGCTCGGGATTCTAAATGCTTGGTCACTGCACACTGGCCTTCCACCGCTGAACTGCCAAGCCAACGTTTGGTGCCAAACAGGCAACGCACCAAAGAGCCAAAGACAACCAAAGACTGCCACAAACAAACCGCAAAAAACAATCAAATAAAGCACCAAACCGCCAAGCCAGCAAAAAGACAGTCTACATCAATCAGCCTTCCCAATACTACCTTTAAGCATCGCCACACATAAACTGACTTTCCGGCCCCAAAAAGGTCAGGTTTACAACTAGGTCCTCTAGTAGAGAGGTGAGACTAAGGGTACCCAAATTTTTCTGTAGTCTATTTTAGTAGGGGAACCCTCCCCAAAAAATGGGTAAAAGGGCACTACTGGCCCAAAAAGAAAACGGTAAAAGGGCACCTAGCTGGGGGACCTAGACAAGCACCAAGCCGGGAATTCCAGGGCTCTCTTTGAAGCTGCTTGCCCGCGAGACCCGCTCCGCGTTGCCCAGGATCGCCTTGCGCGCCTGGACCTCCGGCACCGGTGGTTTTGACCGCCAAACAGAACCGGGTTGCAGCACTTGACAAGGGACCTGACATAAATAAAAGTGTTTTTGTTGGTTGCTTCTTTGGGAAGTGAAGGTAACCTTTCTAGACTTCATCTTTCCCTCTGGTATGTTGCTCCCAAGAGGATGCAACTTCAACGTGCGTCAGGACATTTACCACATAAGATTGCCATATGTTGGCCATAAGCAATTAAAAAGGTGACTGTCCGGAAGAAAAAACCTTACACATTGTGCATGCTTATGTCCTCGGTGGATGCTCTTGACGGTGATCTCTTGGCGCTTGCACTGTCTGACGAGCCTCAACAGTTAGGATAGTTCGTTAGTGGTGGGAAAACCCCCAGTGGAAAAGCAAAAGTTGGTGTCTCTAGTCACCAGCCAAAAAGTACGCAACTCCCAAGCAACACCTGGCTTTTTGTGGCCCTTGCAGATCGTTGTTATGAAGCTCCCCACACTGCTCCCTGAAAGATTTTTCAAAATCAACAACTGAGACGACAATCAAACGCCAAGTGTGAGGCACTCAGGCAGCATGGGGCTGGATGGGGAGCACCATATCGCGCAGGTAGAGGTCCGAGAATCTGCCATTTGCAACCGTGCCTTGTCCTTCCACTCCCTCTCGCGTTTCTCCTGCTGATACTCCTGGAAGCTCCGAGTCATTGCGACATGGCCAACTCTCGCGTCCGGGCGTGCACTGATACGTTTTACGGCCTTGACGCCCGGCGTCGGTACAATGGCCAGGAACAACAAATGCTGAACTTGGTCTGGGGCTGGGTCAATCCCCTACCGCCTAGCCCTGGGATGTTTGGTCGTCTTCTACGTGCTACAAAACCAGTTGCATGCACACATTGCATCCACCTGCTTGTGTGGCAAGACCCTACCCAAGTTTAAACATTTCCCCACATGCGTCTCTTGTGATCAATTTCCTTTCCTTGCCGGCCAGCTCTGGCGCTCGCTGCAGCTCCGGTAGTTTGTCGCTCCTGATGGCTATGTGATCACGCAGGGCCGTGTCAAATGCACAACTGTCGAGCCGACATACTGCTGCTCCCGGATGCACAAGTGTACTGGTACATCGTCAACCCACGCGCGTACAAACGGCGGCAGAAGGGCCTCAATTGGGCTGGCCGAGTCCTTTGGCGGTCACTTAGGGGAATTGTGCCCTACGCCTCCACGTGCCTCCACCATGGGCTCTAAGAAATGACCAATGTCGCCATTGCCTTCCCAGCAACCAGACCTCGGAGCCTCAGTGGACCTCGGAGAGCTTATTTGATGGTGCACAAGGAAGGTGGCCGGGTGGCGGCCAAAGGCACCATATTTTCAGGCCCACCAAAAGGGGTTTAATATAAAATCGTTGATCCCGCACCAATCCCAGTTTTTCTGTCTCTGAACGCCCCTTGGGCTTTTTCGCTATCGCAAAGATGCTCACGCTCAAGTTGCATCTCTCACCCAGCTCTCCACCTGGCGAGTTCTGAGTTTTGCATGGCGTGCCCGTGGAATATGGACCCCTGGGCGTCTGCCTTGCACCGCTAGCGGTACGTGCTCTGCTCGTTGCCAGTCTAACGATGTTCGTGTATTGGTGCTGGGTGTTCATGGAGGCAACCCTGTTGAAGAAATCACTCCTGTGCTTTGCAGTTGAGAGTTGGTTGCACCGTTGCACCATGTGCATGCAGTGTGCTCTTGCCAGTTCACAAAAAGACACATAACCTTTGGCCGCTGGACTCAAAACTGGACGCGATGAACATGGGCTTCTACCTAAATCTCAAGTATACTTTGCTTTCCGGAAGCCGGAGACCAGATGTGATTCCAAGAATAATGTTGTAAAACAGGTGCTCACGCGCTCGAGATACCTGGCCGAGTTTGGACCATGCGCCACGTCCATTTGGTCCGAGTCGATGAATCGTATGGGAAAGGACTGCAAAACAATCCATAAACCAATCCATATTCCATGCAAACTTCCGCCCAACACATTGATTGCAACCATGAAAACGAACAATTGGGATTGCCGGGATTGCATGGTCCACCCCGCCGTCCCTTCGCTAACAAGCATGCTTGTTAGCCAAGCGACCAGAAAGACTACACAACCCAGCTCCAGCAACTCCTGAACCTTTCTCCGCAGGCATTCCGTATGGATGGCACAGGCAGTTCGTGGAACAAAAAGCATCAGGTTGCTCAAAGCAATCTGCAATGACATTTCGGACTCGAGCCTTGCCCCGTACGCCGTTCCCTGAGGGCGGTTGATCACGTGTTGGTTTTGTGCCTGGTGGTTCGTGACTGGCCAAAGACATCCACAACAAGCTTCTGACATACAGTGCAGTTCTGTCTAGCTTAAGGGGCCCGACTAGTAATCTCGAAGGTGAACAGGGCGCCTTGATGGATGCGGTTGCTTTCCGGACCTGGGCCCGCCGCACACGCGAAGGGTGCGGCTAAGGCCCAGGAGTTGGGCTTGGAATTCCAGCACCGTCTCATGCGGCCAGCGATCAGGGCGGCTCTATGTCAACGTCGTCCCGGATGCCCCAAACTCAAAAGCCGTTAGAAGGGGCCTCGAATTGGCTCAGATCTCAGATCGGATCCATACAGGGCTGTGAGTCTGGGGCCTGTGTTCCGTTGGACCCTTGAATTCAGGGTCTAATGCTCTTGTCAGGTCTATCTAAGTTCAACTCCTGGAATCTTCCAGGGTGAACGTTGGAGTCTTCTACGTCGGGCGTTGGTATTCAGCCACCCGCATACGGCAGTATCTGCATGTTGTTTCCGCGCCTGCCACATTCCTACATTACCCAATGGTCCCCCAATCGAAACCAAGCGCTGCCCCTGATCGTGTTGCGATTTGACTGTGTTGCAGCCTCTCACAGCTACAAAAGAAACATCTCGCAGACGATGTTACGAAGCTAGATCCGCCACCGCAACATCAACACCGTATTGGGGCTCTTTGACCTATATCAGCACTAGGCAGAAGCAACCCGGTCCAACTCTGCACAATAAACTCGGGAAACAACAACAAGGAAACACTTACCAAGATTTGGAGTAGCCGTCCATGAAACAAGAGCCTTTTCAACGTGAGCTCATTCAACTGGATCTACGCGCGGCCCCGGACAGCAGCAATGCGCGGCTACGAAAAGCCGCGTCTCCAAAGAAAAAGTTGGCAGGCCCGCGGCCACTGGATCCGAGCAAGCACATCTGATAAGGGCAGAAGGGCGAATCTTGGCAGCATTTGGCAGCTTCCCTCAGTTGCCCGCTTCAGGTGGCAAACTCAAACCACTCAAATTGGTGCATGTCTCAGGGTTTCGAAACTTGACGTGTGATCTGTTGAACTGTATATCCTGCACTGCCAACAGAAAAATCAAACTGCTCAAGAGATATAAACACAGGATCTCGATTCATCATCCTTCACTATGATGCACAAGCATTGAACCTGGACAAATCGGAGTGTCACCCCTGTTTCTCCATAAAGCTCTCTCTTCAAGGCAAGGAGTGTTGCTTGCAACAGCCTCTTGACTAGAAGCAGCACGGTCATTAACAATCGGATTGCCTGAAGTCCAATGGCCATATATTTTGAGCAGAGCATAGCCTTGGAAGCTGTCACAGACGCGTTGGCGGTGCTTGGGCACAAGACGACTTGGCCAGTTCACACTGAACAAGTGTGAAGAATCGACATGTTCATGAGTGAAAGACACTCGTGCCTCACCAAACCAGCTGTGAATCCTGAAATGTCTACACCTGTGGTCAAAGACTTAGGTTGGCACGATGCACTTTCTACAACGGCCCAAAAAAGAGCCGCATGTGGACAAGTCGGTGCTTGCGCTCCAATTCATTGGCCCTGAAGAGGCTGAAGGGCATGCACAACAGGAAAACGGTTTGCCGCAAGAAGCCAAGCTCTTGGAAGCACGGCGTGCATGCAGGTCAGGGGTTCGTTAAAGAAACGCAGAATCTGCAAAGAACTCAGAAGCGTCTGTTGTAGAACCGTTTACCATGAAGTCTGGCTTTGGTGAGGAAACCCTTGCCAAGCACAGGCTTTCTGTGAATCCTGATGGCACGTAAACGTCGCTGATTCTTTGCTGGCATACCCAAACTTGCAAGAACACCAACAGGAACCTACAATGATCTCCAGCACAGGGAATGCAAAGATATGCAAAGGGCAAGTAGGCGAGGGCATCCAATCCCAGGACATGCCTGCAGAACAACCCATGCAAAAAAGCCTGCATCCAGCACAAGTCAATGTGAAAACACAACACCAATCCGCAGGCTGAAGGCAGCAACCATCCGCAAGCTTCCAGTTGGACGCTCCAACGAGCGTCTGGCTATCGGGGTCGACCTCAACGGGTGTACCTGAGGCACAGCAGTCAACATCTATACCTGACATTGAAATCCAAACGTGCCTTGCTGGAGGGCGTCTCCAAACCCAACTGTTAAACTTAATTCATGTAAGTTACCCTCCCGGCCACCATGGCACCTGACAGGGGGTCACTTCAAAAAGAAACTGATCTTCCAGGTACCTCCCCACAAGTGCTGATTTTCTCTTCCACCATGGGTGCAATGAATGGGAGGCTTTGAGCCTCGGTATGGGCAGTCACAGTAAAACCGTTGTTGACCTTCAGCCCTTCCCGCAAATAACCCCCCCCCCTCCCCGAAAAAAACCCAAACATCGAAGGGAGTGTTGCTAAATATTAGGGGTCGCCAGTTTTTGCCTTGGATATAGTTCATTGTTTGCTGTTTAGTATTTTAGCATTGGACTTGCATTGGACAGCGCATTCCCTTTGATTTGCAGGAGAAAACGCTGTGAAACGGACATTCCCGTTGTCAAATTCTTGGAATGTTTGGGGTTGGCGCGCGGGCTCCAACCACAAATTTTGTTTCGGCCCGATAAGCACGTTTTCAGAGCTTGGTGGAACACATGTGTGGTCTCAAGAGTTTAGTATTGGTTTAGTATTGGCTAATTTAAAATTAGTATTTGTGTTTTTTGGCGCGGCTGAGGGGAGTTTCTATTGTCAGGGGTAGGTTGGTTACTAGGAAGAAGTGCTTACGTTTCCGCAACAAACGAATGTAAACTGGCCTCCAGCATCTGGAAATTATGACATTCCGAGCTTGAAGGCACAACGCCACAACCGATCAATGAAACGAAGGCTAGTATCCTGATTGCCCAGCGTTGCCATGTCTGGACCATTGAGCTCGCAATGCCCACCTCTACCTGGCAAGAAACAAACAAAAAGTACCGCTGGCCAAAATGAATTCGTGAATACCAAACTTCATGCCCGTGAATATTTCGTCCATTTCACGTCTGAATGCAGTGCAATCTTGTGCGGGTGGGCGGTCGCTTGAAACGTCTCAAAGTGAAAGACCGCTGGACATCATTTCCCTTGGATTTAGACACCCTTGGCCCATTGGTTTGCCTTCACATGGAACTCCATGTAGAGGTGGCTGTCCGGTTTCGGGCTCCTTCCCAAACAGCCCCAAACCAGGCATCTCCATTCACAAACAAACAACTTTGGAGTCACCGTGCACCTTTGCATCCACCAAACAACAGCCTCCTGGCCCAGTTGCCCAGTCATATGCTCCAGCACATTCACCATTCGCCGGTTCAGGCCATTGACCTCTCTCAAGACCTCGGCAAGAACTGAGGCTAATGCAACAACCTGAAGTACCTATCATGTATGAGGTCGCAACATGTTGCGAGCCCCCTCTGTGAGGTCTCTGCAAATGGGACCTACCCAGCCATACCAATGCTTGCTGGATCGCTTCTACGTTGGACTTACAACTACTCCATAATCACTACTTACCACTCCTGTTCCACTGCAACAAACATCTATAATTGAAGTCATCCAGCGCGAAGGATTCGAGCCAAGAACGGCAGGCAACTGCATCCATGAATCAACAACAACCAGTGTAACAGCTAGAGACCCACGTTGCCCCGTTCAAACAATCAAACAGCCTCTTCCCTGGACAGCGATAAAAGAAGGCAACATGAGTCCACAAGCAGCCAATGAAAAGGTAGCAAAGCTAACCTTTCTCCGGCCATCTAAGCTGTTCTGAATTGCAGATTCCCCCGTTTGTCTGAGCCTTCACCACGGGGCTGAGCTAGACTGTCGGCCCACCCAAAGTCCGCAAATCAGGCTGACGAAGAGCTCGTGCCATCAAACATTTCCAGTTGGGTGCCCGGGCAAGGCTCGTCTGGCGCTGCACAATGCGGCGAATGTCCTTGGAGCTTGGGCGTGACATTGTTCCCCAAGCGCAAAGGAGCCATCGCAACGGCATAATCAACGGCATACGTGTCAGCATGCATTGTAGCACCAAAAAGGCAGAGTAGCGTTCCTGTGCACATTTCTACAGGGAAATTGTGGGCACCACTTAGGTCACCACTTTGTGCATATTTTGGCTGTTCAACATAATCAAATAGTTGATGACTACCTATTATTAACCCCGAGCAGCCAACTGCAGTAGCATCTAAGCACAGCAAAGTGGGACTAGAGTAGCCCATGCAAAGGCCCATTCCCTCGTGGGCGCGGCACCCATGCACGCATGAAGGGCGGCTGAGTCGGAACAACAATTTATGATCCAATCATTGCGCTGAGCAAAATACATAGCACTCCCCAAGAAAAAAAAAAAAAAACAACAAACTAATGCCGCATGCCGCTGTTTAGCCAGTGAGGCTGAACAAGATGCACTGTCTGACTGGCGTTGCAAGTTGTGATCCATAAACTTGGAAATGGTCCACACAACTTGCCTGAGAAACTGCTCCTTGTCTTGGCATGTGGGGATTCTGATTATCGGCTGCGAGCCTTTGGGCACCCCATTGGCATGGCTTTGGACACGCTATCTGCCTGTTGGAAGGCTTCTTCATTCGAGCCATGGCACTTCTGGAAATTCGCCAGGACCTCAAACATGTCCTTTACGGTTGAAATGGAACGCCTGCCGCGGATTTCTGCCCTTGTGGCTCTACGTAGCTCTACTTTGGCATGAAGTTCCCCGCTTCAGCCCCACAAACCAACACACATTAGTTGCCAAGCGAGCGGCGCAGCGCACGTCGATAATATCCTGCGAGGGCTTGTGCACGTGGCCTCTTGCCCACCAATTTGGGACAACACCCACTTGCGTTGCAATAGCGACATCTTGACCATGCATACCCTGTTGAAGGCACAACATGCGGACAAGTGCGGCTGAGTTTGCATAGGACTGTAAGGAATCTCTTCAAGCTCCGAATGGTAATTCTCAAAGCTCAAGGCTCAAATGTTGAGAAGCCAGGGCACCACTGGACCCAGTGCGGGAGGGCTGGGTGGGCGAGTGTCTGGACGCCCATGCTTGTGTGGCAATCGTATGTTTGCTTTGTGTAAGTGCACATGGTTTCGTGGATTGCTGTGGGTGAGGCTTGCTGCAGCAAGTGCATACCAGGTGTCACTCTTCAGGCACGCATGGCATTGCATTCCTTCGCGATCCGTTTTGAAGTCACTCGTGGCATGTTGGGTCGCCTGTTAAGCGCTCTATGAATCTTGCGAATCAACGCGTAGATGTCTCACTTCATGCAACACAGGACGTTTCACCAGACGCTGTCCTTGCCATGCATGGAACAATCTCATGTTCGTTTGAACCTGGCATGTGCTATACACGATAAGGCTGAGATGCCTTTCTACATTGATGCAATAGCGCCTGGACCATGTGATTTACAAGAGTGGAAACCGACTTCTTGGCATCAGTTGCCAAAAAGGCGAAACATAAACCATCTCACATTTAGCTGGACATAGACCAATTGATGCAAAAGCGCTGTACACGAAGCCTCTAAAAACCAACATAAACTTTCTACAGCTTTTACAGCATTTTCTGCCAGGTTTTGCCTAGCTTTGATGCTTCTGCTACTTGGTGGTCTGGCTCGCCCTATCTTGCCGTTGGCTTCAATGAGAACAACCGCTCCTGGTTGGAAATGGTTCGGCCGCCCCGGATCTTCAGGATCACTTCCAACAGTTCTTCGCCTTAAGGCTTCATGGCGAAGAGGCAGTTTGCGACATCGAGGCAGGGTGTGCCGGGTTCATCGGCCAACGACAGGTTTCAGGCAATGTCCCGTGCATGCCCAAGCAAACAGCACATAGAATCGCGGAAGCACCATGTGAAGTAACATGTTGAACCAGACTTGCTGATGCTGGGGAAACAAGGGAGCAATGACTCTCCGGGTGGCTTCAATGACTTCGAGCGTGCCCCGGCACACTGCTTTGATTTCCCTCCTTCAAATCCATCTGGAAAGAACAAGAGCATCCCCCAGCAAAACACATACATCATGCAAACCCAAGGGATGCTTAAAACCAACAATCATAATCACTTCTGGCCTCTCTGGAAGAGTGCAAAAGTGACTGCACACAAGCACACACTTTACCTTGCCACTGTCAAAGGTGCCTCGCTTAGAAGGCCGCACTAAGCCATGCCGGGATAGGAACTGATTTAGAATGACACTAGAGCGGACCACAATTAAGTTTACCTCAGACGTTTTGGCCAGACCCAGCCATCACATGTCTTGAACTTGTCCGGCAGACAAAGCTGGCAGGAAATTCGTGGACACCAAACAGAACTGCAAGGGCAAGGGGAACAAGGCAATAACTGCAAGGGCAACGGGAACAAGGCAATAGCCAACTGGACGGATCGCCGAAACATCTGCGATAAGTTCACCTCAGGATTTCATACACGCATTGAATATTAACAGGAGAACCAAATGATTCCATAGCTTGTCATCCCAAGTCCACCTCAATACAGGAAATTCGTGGTGAGGTAGTCTACCATCTAAAGAATAATCTGCGTTGTGACGGAAAAACTGAGGTCGTCTGCTGGGCCTTCAATCGAGGTCCGGGCGCGTCACTTCTTGCTCCCGGCCTGCATCCTCATCTTGCTCAAAGAGGTATTCCTGGGATTCAGCTGACCGCCGCGTTTGCTCAAACGAGCAGGGTCTTTTTTGGGCACATAAAAAGGGGAACTCCGCGGAACCTACGCGAGCCTACGCGAGCTGCATGTTTACAGGGTTTCAGCCTACGAGGACGCAGTTCCTACGCAAAAAGCCTGTGCGACCCACGCTGACTGCGCATGCACACTATTCCAGCCTACGCGGCTCCGGGCGCTACAAAAAAAAAACAATGCTCGAACTGCGCCCACCTGCCGCATGTCTCCAGGATGAGGTGGGGAAACATCAGGTCATGCCCACCTTTCTACTCTTCAAGGAATCCATCGACTTGGCGTCAAACTTCTGAAGCCGAGCAGAGCGCATACAACATGCGCAACATGTGCATTGTACGGTGGCTGGTGTCCACCAGCGATACTGTAGCGGATCTTCAGATCCACCTAAACCCGATTCGAATTGGATCTCCAAACGGAGTTTTCCCAGCATGAAATAAAGAAAGAACGCCCACGACCCAAGAAGCGGTGAGGTCAATGACGTCCTCCGGCTTCACCTTGCATGGAGGCCTTCTTGAAACGCCAACGCGGCCAACCCATAGCAACAAACATGGCCCATTTGTTGGCTGCAAACGAAGTATGTCTGCGTTGTCTCTAAAGGAACTTGCCGAGGCTCATTCTCACTCGCAGCATTGCTTCGAACTCAGCACCAACACATGGTCTGCTCAATCGAAGCCTGATACTCCCCAACACATATCCCTGGCACAGATTCCAGCAAAACAACACAGCGCGTGCCACAAGGAAGCGCGGCAAAAGCAACATCCTTGTTTGTCCCATCTTGGACTTGCATTACGCCCCGCCCCCAGTTGTGGCAAATGAGCAAGTCTTTCGGTCAAAAAATGGCGAATTCCAAAAGAATTGGAGCTGCATCCCTTCAGTTCCTTCCCCAAAAAGGCGAACTCCCCCCCAAACAAAAAACACCACGCATGTCTACGCGTGCGATCTTCCGATCCGCCTGCAGCTCCGAGAGGACCTTCTGCGCGCGCTCATCGTCCACCACCGCTTGCAGCTCCTGACCGATTTGGGATTCCGGAGCCTCCCCCTCGGCAGGGATGTGCCAAACACGTCATGGCTAATACAAAACCCAAACTACGTCCTTTTTTTCTTCGGCTGAAACTTCAGCCGGAATCTGGAATTCGGCAAAAACAGCCTAATTGGACCGCTGAGGCTCAAGGCGGACACTGCTCCTGGCCGCCGGAATGGACTCAAGGTTCTTATTCGCAAAGCTTCGCCGGAATTGTGGGAAGTTTCGCCGGAATTGCAGGAAGTTTCGCTGGAATTGCGGAAAGTTGGGCGACAAGCCGCCAAAAACAGCGCAATCATGCTTAAGCTGCCAGTTGAAGAACGGCCGAAAGGCGAAAAATTGGCCGGCAATGCAAAATGGATACTGTTTGGGGTCTTTTGATTTTTTGGTATGGTAATTTCATGATACGTATAAGTGATGTGTTGGGGCGTTCTCTGGTCTGGGGTGAGGAAGCGCTGGTGTTCTGGATCAGTCTTGAACATTGATGAGTCAACTGTACTCGACTGACTGAAGCGATTGGCGTTATGGGTACGTGATACTGCGTACATGAAAGCAGTCATAGTATGCTTATTCATGCACGTATGTGCGTGCTCAAAAACTGGTGCGATCTCTGAGCGGTCGTATCCACGCAAGACCCTTGCTACATTTCCCTTCTGCACCCCCTGCAGCATCTGTCCGTCTTCGAGATGTTCTCGTTGTTGTCCTGGCATGTAACCCATTTTTCCCATTGTGCTCAGTCGAAGGTATCGTTCGCTGACATGGGGTCTGTGCCAGTTCCATGCGAAAACGCGCAACCGGCTGTGCTCTGAAGGACATGTCATCACGTCTGAGAAACGAGATTCATATTCCTGAAAAGAAGTACACATCCGCAATGTCATTAGCGTATTCGGCATGCATGGCCAGACTATGCCGTCATGCAAACACCAAGACGGTGTCTCTTTATGGCTGTCAACTGTTCTACCGGAGAAGCACTGAAGCTAAAGCAGGCCAGTCGAAGTGCGACAGTTGGCCAGGATACATGTGTCACATGACAGTCAACATGGAGATGTGTAAATCCGGATGAGGGCACATGTGGTTCTCATAAGTTGAAAAACCAGCTGGGCAGTACTCCATGGAACACTCCGATACCCTCTGTACGCACAAAAGCTCAAATCATGCCTGCGCTTGCAAGACCCCTCTTCGAGTTAAATGCAACAAGTTAAGCCAAGTCACAGCTAAGTTGAGCCAATCAGTCAGCCACGGCCAAACATGCCACCCTAGGAATTCCCAGCCTCTCTGGATTTACTCTTCAAACAACTAAATGGCCTTTCTCGGCCCGCTCTCCCCCCCGCGCCCGCCGGCTGTTCTGGCACCGCACCTTATCAATTTCGGTCAGCATGGTGCGAAGATGCTCCTTCATGAAGTCGATCGCAACGCCTTCCTGTCAGCTGTTCTGCCAAGCCGTACCCAAGCAGCGGCCAAGGTGGCTCGGTTGGCCCCTCGCTACAGTACTTCCACCTCACTTTGCACAACCGGTGGATCCTGCTTGGTGCATTTCATGTCCTCGAGCCGCGGACAAACAACAGGGAAATGGGACCACTGCCAACTTACTGAACTTGAAAGTGGCACACCGGGTTCCTTTGCGTTATGCTTGTGATGCCAAGTACGCGGCCAGCTATATGGTATCCCAAATACTACGCATGAAAGGCATATAAAGGCATGAACGCTTGAAGTCGATGGAATCACGCTCACTCTAACGTCTGCTCTGCCGTCAAAGCAGTCCATAGAAAGGCAGTGCTGCTCCAAAACATCTTTACGCGCTTCAGGCGCTGGTATTCTGACAAGTGGCACTAGGCCAAGTTGTTCAGGGGAGGCATCATTCCCCTAAAGCAGGAGCCACTTTTGCGCACCTTCATCACCTCATAATCGCGGCGGTGATTTAAACGGTGACGATAGTCATAGTAATTGCGCAATGCGTTTTACCCTTTGCCACGACCAAACACCCATGGTGTACAGGCACTTGAAGCGCGCCATGTAAGCCAGAAGCAGTGCGATGCATGCTTGCTTCCAGAAGGCAGGACTCAGTGTTGCCGTCTCAAACCAAGTTGCCCAGATTTCGGGCGCATGTGGGAGTATTCCAAGCCAAACTCACCCAGCAAGTAAACTCCGGCCTCATCCTCGCGCTTCACCTCCGACACAACCTGGTGCGCTCCGCAGGGCATTCAACACAAACGCCACTGCACTGCATGCATTGTGACCACGACTGAAGAGCCACGCAAGTAGGCTTTGGTTAGATTGTGTCAAGTCAGCGTGCGTGGAAAATGAACGTGGCTCTTGCTGCGAGCTGACTTTGTTGGAAAAGTTGGCTATCGACCCTAAAATATTGAGAGTCATTTTTTTCCTGATACTCAGCCAAATTGTGTTGGACACTGGACACTTGAATGCAGGGTCCCCAACCAGTCACGGAACTTCCGGTACCCTGCATGAGGCGGTCGCTGGGTGTCGGAGCCGTCCCAACGAACATGGTTTGCGCATAGATGACCAGTGACACACCTACCTTATGATGCCAGATGGCAGAGGGGGGAAATTTTCCAACTAGAACATGAGCGCCTTTGAAAAACTTGCGCCAATACTCGCAAAGGCTGCCAATGCCTTTCTCTGCTGCGACTGCGTCAAGAATCAAGAACCGTGCTGAAAAATCACCTGCTCTAAACAGTTAAACACCTGTAGCACGCCGTGCAACATCAAGAGTCTATCCATGCTCGAGCTTAGCTGGAACTCTAGCTGTCATGCATTGCCTTGTGCAGCAAACGTCTGCCCAGCAGGAACGGGGTGACTTTCAGAATGGTACCAGCACTGGCGCTACAGGCTTGCTAGAGCCGCGTGCTGGGCCAACGCGGAGATACAGTGGAAAACATCCATGCATAGCTGCAACAATGACATGACTGAAGTGTCAAGTTGACTGCGAGCAAGCACTGGGAACATGAATCCGAGAAGAACATGAGTGGCAGCATGCGAGGCCTCGCACAGAATGCCAATGAGCATGTTCATCACCTTGGCTGACGGCATCTTTGTTTTAAGTTGGCCCGCCGAGAACTGTACAAACACCTGAGTAATAGTTTTGAAGCGCTGGTTGGTTCTCGCAAACGGGCGGCGCTGGTGGGATTTGCATGATTCCGGTGGGGGCCCTTCGGGTGGGGGCCCGCCTCATCCAGAAAATGAGCAGCACAAAACGGAATACGACTGACGCCTTTTGTGACGGCAGCATGTTTAGGAGGCTTTGTTGCTAATATATATATCCGCCGACCCCTTTCTCCAAAGGGGAGGCGCATGGGAAGGGCTTGTATTCGTCCTTGTCTTCGTGATGTTTATCAGCACCACTGATGTTGGGTGATGGGTTCGCAGCATCCAAATCATCAGCATTCTACGTTTCAAGCTTGCCGTTCAACCCGGCTTGGAATGCAGTGATGCATTTTAGTCATGATTGTTATGACAGCTGCTGCTCATGCAGGGGATGCATAGTGATGATTGTCATCAGGATATCATCACGGTAACTGCTGGTGATGCTGGAGATGCGTAGTGATGATCATCAGGATCATCATGATCATCATGAGCGACGCTGCATCTGATCATCATCATCACTCTTCTCATCATCATGATGGTCATCATCATCTCTTTCTTGTTCTTATATGCATTTCAAAAGTAACGTTAGATAGCATTGGCAATGCAGAGGATGCTACGATGATAGTCCTCATCCTTATCATCATTATCATCATGGTCATCATCATCATCTCTTACTAGCCGTCCTCATCCTCATCATCATTATCATCACGGTCATCATCATCTCTTATTAGCCGGCACTGGTGATGCCGAGGATGCTACGATGATAGTTATCATCACAGTCCTCATCCTTATCATCATTATCATCACGGCCATCATCATCTCTCATTATCCGGCACTGGCGATGCCGAGGATGCTACGATGATAGTTATCATCACAGTCCTCATCCTTGTCATCATTATCATCACGGTCATCATCATCTCGTATTATGCAGCACTGGTGATGCAAAGGATGCTACGATGATAGTTATCATCACACTATCATGCTGATGGTCGTCAAAGTAACGTTAGACAGCATTGGCAATGCAAAGGATGCTACGATGATAGTTTTCATCACAGGCCTCATCCTTATCATCATTGTCATCACGGTCATCATCATCTCTTATTAGGCAGCACTGGTGATGCAAAGGATGCTACGATGATAGTTATCATCACAGTCATCATCATGATCATCCTCACCATGATCATGATGACGGTCGTCATCATCATCATCATCACTCTTCTCATCATCATCATGATAGCCACCACCATCTCTTTCTTGTTCTTATATGCATTTCAAAAGTAACGTTAGACAGCATTGGCAATGCAGAGGATGCTACGATGATAATTATCATCACAGTCCTCATCCTTATTATTATTATCATCACTGGTGATGCAAAGGATGCTACGATGATAGTTATCATCACAGTCATCATCACGATCTTCCTCATCATCATCATGATGATGGTCGTCATCAGCATCATCATCACTCTTTTCATCATCATCCTGATGGTCATCATCATCTCTGTTATTGTTCTTATATGCATTTCAAAAGTAACGTTAGACAGCATTGGCAACGCAGAGGATGCTACGATGATAATTATCATCACAGTCCTCATCCTTGTCATCATTATCATCACGGTCATCATCATCTCTCATTAGGGAGCACTGGTGATGCAAAGGATGCTACGATGATAGTTATCATCACAGTCATCATCAGGATCTTCCTCATCATCATCAGGATGATGGTCGTCATCATCATCATCATCACTCTTCTCATCACCATCCTGATGGTCATCATCATCTCTTTCTTGTTCTTATATGCATTTCAAAAGTAACGTTAGACAGCATTGCCAATGCAGAGGATGCTACGATGATAATTATCATCACAGTCCTCATCCTTGTCATCATTATCATCACGGTCATCATCATCTCTCATTAGGGAGCACTGGTGATGCAAAGGATGCTACGATGATAGTTGTCATCACAGTCATCATCAGGATCTTCCTCATCATCATCAGGATGAAATCATCATCATCATCACTCTTGTCATCACCATCCTGATGGTCATCATCATCTCTTTCTTGTTCTTATATGCATTTCAAAAGTAACGTTAGACAGCATTGGCAATGCAGAGGAAGCTACGATGATAATTATCATCACAGTCATCATGGTCATCATCATCTCTCATTAGCCGGCACTGGTGATGCCGAGGATGCTACGATGATAGTTATCATCACAGTCCTCATCCTTATCATCATTGTCATCACGGTCATCATCATCTCTCATTCGGGAGCACTGGTGATGTAAAGGATGCTGCGATGATAGTTGTCATCACAGTCATCATCAGGATCTTCCTCATCATCATCATGATGATGGTCGTCATCAGCATCATCATCACTCTTCTCATCATCATCCTGATGGTCATCATCATCTCTTTCTTGTTCTTATATGCATTTCAAAAGTAACGATAGACAGCATTGGCAATGCAGAGGATGCTACGATGATAATTATCATCACAGTCCTCATCCTTGTCATCATTATCATCACGGTCATCATCATCTCTCATTAGGGAGCACTGGTGATGCAAAGGATGCTGCGATGACAGTTATCATCACAGTCATCGTCAGGATCTTCCTCATCATCATCGTGATGATGGTCGTCACCATCATCATCATCACTCTTCTCATCACCATCCTGATGGTCATCATCATCTCTTTCTTGTTCTTATATGCATTTCAAAAGTAACGTTAGACAGCATTGGCAATGCAGAGGATGCTACGATGATAATTATCATCACAGCCCTCATCCTGGAGCACTGGTGCTGCAAAGGATGCTACGATGATAGTTCATCAGGATCTTCCTCATCATCATCATGATGATGGTCGTCATCATCATCATCATCACTCTTCTCATCACCATCCTGATGGTCAGCATCATCTCTTTCTTGTTCTTATATGCATTTCAAAAGTAACGTTAGACAGCATTGGCAATGCAGAGGATGCTACGATGGTAATTATCATCACAGTCCTCATCCTTGTCATCATTATCATCATGGTCATCATCATCTCTCATTCGCCGGCGCTGGTGATGCCGAGGATGCTACGATGATAGTTATCATCACAGGCCTCATCCTTATCATCATTGTCATCAAGGTCATCATCATCTCTTATTAGGCAGCACTGGTGATGCAAAGTAGTTATCATCACAGTCATCATCAGGATCTTCCTCATCATCATCATGATGATGGTCGTCATCATCATCATCACTCTTCTCATCCTGATGGTCATCATCATCTCTTTCTTACTTTCTTATATGCATTTCAAAAGTAACGTTAAACAGCATTGGCAATGCAGAGGATGCTACGATGAAAATTATCATCACAGTCCTCACCCTTATCCTCACTATCATCATGGTCATCATCATCTCTTATTAGCCGGCACTGGTGATGCCGAGGATGCTACGATGATAGTTATCATCACGGTCATCAAACCGGTTGAGCCAACGAGCTACAAAAACAGGTCCGATCATTTACGCAGGACAACCATGTTTGTAGCATCCAAAAGGAACGTGTTGCTTGTGCTCTGTTAGCGGCTGTGTTTGTTTGAGGGTGCCCTTCTTTTGGGTTGCCTTAAAGGCAAGCCAAAAAGAAGCCTGCCCTCTTTGGAGTACTTAACTGTATGGGGTCGGCGGCACTGGGCGGCAGCCCTTAAATCCGGCCACCGGACGTGATCGGGCCGCAGGCCAAAGCCCGTTAGGGCTTACCTTCAGGTATAAGGCCGCGCGCCCCATGCCGCCGACCATGAGCGGACCATGCGCATACGTTTTGGGCTGGGCCTTCCTTATAAGGCGTGGATTGGTTTAGGCGATTTTTGTAGCATCTCCCCGCAGCGCCCAAAAACGAGCATTTTTAGGGGGTGCCTAATACTGGACAACCCCCCCAGCATTGCCAGCATCATCCCGGATGATGCGGATGATGTTATGCATGCTGGCGATGCGGGGGATGCTGGGGATGTTGTCCCCTAAGTCGGGCCAATTTTGCCGAAAACGTGCAACCTGAAAATCTTAAAATCTAAAGTGGATGGAAATGGATGGAAAATGGCCTGGATTGAAATCTCAAAATCCTAAAGTCTTAGATTCTTAAAATCTTAAATTAAAATCTAACAATCAATCTTAGAATCTTAAGATCTTAAAACCTTAGAACTTAGAATCTTAAAGTCTAAAAATGTAAAAACTTCCTAAAATCTTCGAATCTTGAAATCTTAAAAACCTTATGTCTTAGAATCTTGAGATCTTAAACTCTTCAAATATGAAATCTTAGACCCTTAATTCTTAAACCATTGAAACCTTAAATTCCGAAAGTCTTCAAATCTGAGACCCTTAGAATCTCAAAGTTTTTAGAATTTTAAAATCTTAACATCTACTCATCGGACTTACAGGAAAGGGAAGTGACAGAAACCCTCATGTCTTTGAATCTTCAGATGTTAAAATCTTAAAATATGAAACTCCTAAATTCTCAAAATCTTAAAATCTCAGAATCTTAAAAGCTTCAAAACCTTAAATTCTTTAAATCTCGAACTATTGCAATCTGAAAATCTTAAATTCATAAACAAGTCAAGTATAATAAAATTCCTTCAATACGGGCTATATTATTCTAAATTCCTTAAACTCTTAATCTTCAAATTTTGAAGTCTTGACATCTTAAGATCTTAAAATCTTAAATTCCGAAAGTCGCCAAATCTGAAAATCTCACAAAAAATAAATCTTAAAGCCTTCGAAATCTGATAATGGATGGTAAATGGCTGGGCACTGGCCTGGCTGTTATAACCTTCAAAAGCCTTAAATCTTCGAATCTTAAAACCTTAATTCTTCAACCATTGAAACCTTAGTCTTCAAATCTGAGACCCTTAGAATCTCAAAGTTTTTAGAATTTTGAAATCTTAACATCTACTCATC